AACAATTCAGAATATTTTTTAAATATTACACACACACATATATATATATATATATACCTATATATATAATATATATATATATTTTAAAATTCCAAAAATTGATTTATCTAAATTTACTAATGGGAGGACAACATTAAAATCAGAATGTTTCTTTACAAGTATTCTAAGGAATGGTCAGAATCCACTAAAAATAGATTAAGAATCAGGTTAAGCCTCATCTCTGTGTCTTACACAGGGTCTAGCATCAAGATTGTTGCTGCCAGTTTATTCTCTCCACTAAGAATGAGAGGTTTTATTCTCTAATGTCAGAAAAAATAATAATTTCTTATTTTGGTAAATTGACAGGTAGCTAGACTTAGTAAAAAAATTCTTCTAAGCACCATCAGGCCATTATTTGTTAATCAATACTGCACATTTCTTACTAGTCTTATCATTGGAGTACATTGTTCCAGAAATTCTAGCAGCATATTGAGGCATGAGTCTGCTTCCAGATAAGCCTGGTTGGCTTAATTTTTTGTCTTTTTTATCTCAAGATAAGTGCTCTAGTGCAGGGGCCCACCAAAATGACATTTTATTCCTGATATACCTATCAATTCTAGCTTTGCCATATCCTTGCAATTCAACATTCAGCTGCTCAGGCTATGAGCACTCTCTAGGAGGGACTGACTCTCTGTTCCTTTTTCTGATGTTTTCCTCTGTGCACACACGTGGTAGCCTCACCAACACGCTGCTTTCAGCTGCTGCTAATTCCCTGCTATGATTTCACATCCAAACCTCCAATAAGGTGTAATTCCAACTCAGACAGCAATACTTTCAGAGCAGTGAGGGCTTGGTAGGTGTACGAGAAAAACACTTTCTAACACATGGCAAAGAATTATGTAATCAATATCCAGGAATATTCTGAAACTAGCCAGCTGTCGATAAAATCCTGAAATTAATTTTCCCTGAGAAATCTCAACTCCTCAGGAAAAATTGTTTTCTGTTCTTCACAAAAGTGAAGCTCAAACATCTTAAATAAGCATTTTCAGATACTTCCACTGTAGATCACTAAGGATTTTAAATGCAAGCAGGCTCGTACTGTCTGACAGGGGACTTTTTCTCCCCCCTGAAGTCCATTTTTCTTCTGTCTGCTGTTAAGTTACTATTATCTCCCATTCTTTGTAATAATGGGCTTAAGATCAAGTGAAACTGGAAATGGAAAGAACAGTGAAAGATGACAGACTTGAAGGGGCTTTATTGGGACTATGGGTTGCTCCTGAGGTCAGAATCAGTAAGTATAATTAGATTCCTGGCATTTACAACAAATGTAAAGCAACTCAGAGCTCCCTTTTGTGTGCCTGTAATTAAACATGCACTTTTACTGCCCTCTGCAGTGCTCCAAAGTATCTTTGATTCCAGCACATGAAAGTGGAATGAAAGAGCAGGCTCAAATCTTCATCTCTATATGGCACTCATATTTCTGAAAACAAAGTATTTCTCAGCAGAAATGGAATAGCCCCTTTCTAAAGAAACACAAAAGGGAACGTTGTTTTTGCTAATAATTAGAGCCACTCCTGTACCTCCCAGAAACTTTCTCAATACACTTGGACTGATAGAAAGGTCCCAACACAGACAGCTGGGCCCCACTTTAACCCACAAAACAAGTTCCAAACTTCCACTCAAAGTGAACTTATTGAGTGTATGAATCAGCATTTTTTTGGATAAATTAGTTTTCTCTTGTGCTTGAACACAATCCAAGAGGTAAGTGACAAGATCAGAGTGAACAGGATTGGTAATCAAAAAATACAGTGGGGGCCAGCAGTGGCAGTAGCCAAATCTTGGTTCCTTCTGTGTTTTGCATTTAGGTATTACCCCAATGCCACAAAACTAAACAGTGCACAGCTGGAGTAAATTCTGCTCAGCATTAACACTTCAGTTAAAGTATATATCTTACATTCCAACTACAGTTTTCCTTGAAAGTGAAATGGATTTTTGACACTTCACAGAGTAACTTCAATCTCTTAACTATTTATATAATATTTTGGTAAATTTATCCCTAGTTGTCAGGAAGCACTCAAATTTAGTATTCAACAGCTAGAAACCAATCTTCTCACATTATGAGAAACCATACAGAAGAAAACACAGAAGAGCAAGAACTTCTAGTAAGGTCAAAGGTATTTTAAAAGGAGTCTTTTACTAGCCCAGTTTTGATAAAGATGTGCCTGATCCCCCCATGTTTCCATACAGATCCATCCTCAGGCATACATAGTTGCTCTCCACATGCTCCCGTTTACACTAGGAACACAATAAAACAGATAATCCTGAAAATAACTCCAGTAAATACTTGCATGAACAGAAAATTGTTTGAATGGTATTTTCAACTAAAAAATGGATTCATGGAAGAAAGCTGGTTTTAGCTTGGCTCCCTTAGAGCATTAAATTGTTGTGATGGCAATTTTTTTCCAAAATCTCTGTCCTGTCACTTCCAATTTCTGAACTGACTGTCCAGGTACTGAACAGAAAGGTAAAATATATTCCCTTATGGTTTGTGTGACAACAGCTGAATGATGAAGGAAGACTCAGTTAATGCCCAAGTGAAGGACAAGCTGGGACAGCTCAGCTCTTTAATGTTCTGCTTGCTACCCTACCCACACACGTGTACCAATGGCCCAGCCAAAACAGATGGAGCTTTAAATTAGCCACAGCCACGACTGCTGTCAGCCAGGCAGGGCATGAGGATGCTGAAAGGGGACAGGGCTTGGTGTGAAGGGAGTAAGAGAAACACAAACCAGAAGGCACAGGTCTATAAAAAACAGGGTTGACAGGTTTTGCTGCCTACAGAACAACCTGCTCAGTTTTATTTTTAGAGGAATTTAACCTAATAAGGCTAAAATTTGACAGCAGTACTTGGTTGTTCTCCGTCTGAAGCAAACTCCACTGCATGCAACTATGCACAACTGAACATATGGACATTGTTTTTCCATAAGATCCCTCTATTACCAGGTACTCCCCTAAATGGATGGGGTTAGCACACACTTAACCACTAGAGGGCTTAATTCTATTGCAAAAAACTCTGTTTTTTCCAATTTGGTGTTCAGGACCTTTGGAAAAACATCCAAACTGAGTGCTCTCTGTAAATGCCAACCATAAAAACTAAGTGATCTAAGTAACTGAGACAAAGGGGAATTGTTGTAGTGACAACATTGCTGTGGATAGCCAGTTCCTTCAGAAAAAGGTAACAAATCTGAGCCTGTTTCACAAACAGCTACTGAACACAGACCAGCTACATTTCTAGTCTGGATCACACCCACCTGGTTCCTGGGTGAGTATGCTGCACAGAAGTGAAAGCTGAACAGCACCTCAGATTGCTTTTAATGAGATCAGAGAATGATTGTTTTTAATAACAGAATTAAGATACCTGTAAGCAAGCTGGAGCACACCAGGATTACAAAGGATAAACTAGCCAAAAAAAACCCCAAAAACAGTGACATAGAATCTTAGTCTGAAGCAGAAGTGACAGAGCACACTGAAATGTGACGGAATAGAGCAGAAATGGAACAGAGTGAGCACAGTGAGAGGCAACACCATCTCAGCAGGGCAGGGTCGTGTATAGGAGGGCACAGTTCAGGGGGCAGGGCACAGGCAATGCAGGAGGGTTAAGGTCTCCTCAAAGTCAGAGGATGGTGCTAACACAGATATATCCCAAGGCCTGTGCTGAGAACCTTGTCTGAGTAGCAGCAGGTTGGTTGGATTAATCTCAAATATTTACCACATTATGGACTAACCACTGAGAAGTTACTCTGCAGAAATTTAAAAGCATCTGAAGACATTTGCCAAATAATTATTTGTTGTGTGTTCCATTATAACAGTTCATCTTGCCTGAACCCTGCCCACCCAGGGATTAGTGTTCTTCACCATGTTTTCCCCACAGTCCACCCCAGAGCTGGATGCAGCACTCAAGGTGGGGTCTCACACAGTGGCTGCTCTTGGTGCAGCCCAGGACACAGCTGCCTTTCTGAGCTGTGAGTGCACATGGCTGAGTCACTTCAAGTTTCTCATCCACCCACCAACATCCTCAAGTGCTTCCCCTCAGGAGTGCTCTCCATCTGTTCATCCCCCAGCCTGCATTTGTGCTGGAGAGATTGTCCCAACCCATGTGCTTCCTTATTTCAAAACCAGGTGTAAGTAACCTTACCCCTCTCAGAAGCCTCTAAACAATCTCCTGAATATCCCACCCTGAATATCCCACTGATCCAACCTGTTTGGGTAGCTACAGTAGGATAGAAAAATGTCTTTTAAAGAAACCAATTCTAGTGGCAGTTCTGATACTCAGATAGATACACACTGACACACCAAAAATACTTAAGAACAACCAAGAACAGCGTGGCCAAAAAATATGACATGAGAAAATAATCTGGGAAGGACAGAGGGTGCAGAGTCCAGGTAGAAGGTAGTCCAGAAATACCATCTTGTTGCCTTCTCTGGAAAAAATATGTGTTAGGAAGGCTGTCTCCTTAACATCAGAGCTTAGCACCAACCTTATCCCAATGCCACTGCTTCCCCTTGGAAGCTTCCCCATCAGATCAAGTTACCTGATTTCAAAAGTGCCCAACAAATCAGCTGTAAGCAATATTACTAGCTGAGATGCTCCCTTGAGTTGATGAGTTTAAGGGGTGTAACATCAATACCCAGAAATTCCATTTTAAGATATAAAACCAGGTGAGGTGATTGTAAAAATTGTCCTGTTAGTAAAGAAGACTGTAGTGTCCATCCAGCTCTCCTAGCAGTTTTTCCTATAAAACAGAACTTGGCAACCAGCTAATGGACATCTACTACATGAAATTGTCTCAAATTCACTCTGGTGGCCATGTAAATAGATTTTAAGGTCTCCTCGAAGTCAGAGGATGGTGCTAACACAGATACATCCTGGCTTAGTACCAATACCAGACACCTGGCTTTCAGCATTTCCCTGTATTTCATTATCCACAGAGCACTGCTAGCAGGAAATGAAGAGTCACATGTAAAAGTAAAGGCAGTTCTGTTTATTTTCCAGCAACATCCCACACAAAAGCAACAGAAACACGAACTGCTCTCAGCAGAAAATCTGTACAGTTGGTAACATTTACAACAGTTTTACATTTAAAACCAGAAAACTGAAAGAATCAAGCACTTTCCCTAGACACTGTTTTCTTGACTGCATTAGTAAGTGACTGATGACTATTTACAAATTTCAAATTAAGGCTACTACTTCTAAAAAACCCCCAACATTATTGCATAGACTTTACTATGTTGACCTCCAATTTCTTGAGGGTATTTAACTTCCAATTGTTTCTGAAACATTTTTTGCAAAAAAAGTGGGGTTTTTTTTAAGGTAAGGTAGTTAAACTTGCAGTAACTGCAGTAGAGGGGCTTACTAGTACCAATCAGACACATGGTTCAGTACCACGTGCATTACTTCAGGTCAGGTGAGTTACAAGAGCCATGTGTAAAAGCAAGGTAACATTAAAAAAAGAATCCCCCTACTTGGCTCTTGATCTGCAGGGGAACAACTGAAATCATGCTCACAGTGGGGGAAAATTGGTAAGATCTTGCTGTGCTATTTATCATTACTAGAGGATAGCACTGCCATTGGCTAGTTTTACTACTGAAAAGGTTTTATAAAAAAATCTGATATACATAAATTAAAAGTTAACAAGAAGTCACACAACTTAAATGCAACTTTACATAAGTCTGGTCTGGAGAATATCTAGACCAATCACAGCAGAACAGTCTTCAATTTTGCTCAATTTCTTACTATTAACAGGTTATGGATCAAGCTAACCTTTTAAATTTAACAGAAACTTTCTCCAAAACAGGTTGCACAAGACTATTTAACTCACAGTATCAAATTCTTTCAGTGGCTCACTCAAACACACTTCCAAGTCAAATTCTCCTTCTGCTTGATAGTCAACATGTCTAACTTTGGTGGGAGTGCCAGAACAGGTATCCTGGAAAGGAAAGGCAATTAATTACTAGTTAAGTAGAGGTTATTAGTACAGGTAATTCAATTAACTTCTGTAACTCATTTCGACCACCCTATAATAAAGGCATACAAATGCTTTAAAGGCCATAAAAACTCAATGCTAGTCTTAATATTAAAGAGATGTAGGCTTCTGCCCATCCAACCACATTTGAAGATACCTTGCAAGTGTTCCAAGGACCTATATATGCAAACATGAACACATTTTACAGATTTAATATTTGAAAAATAAATCCAGTAAGAAAAGCATTCCTAGATCTTTAATGCTCAGCTGTACCAAGGGCCTTCTGGACATAAAAGGAACCTACTTCTGTGTGACAAGGAAATTCCACCCTATTTTAATATTAGATACTGCAATCTAAAGTAGCATTTCAACTGTACATTAACAGATACATTTTCTTTTGTAGGCTATGAAAAATGGGATATTTTTAATTTGAGAAGACCATTTAAGTTCTAATTCTCTAAACTCAAGACTACAGACAGATAATGGCTAGAGTTGGAAAATACCTGAATTTCAGGATTACTCAGCTTTATAAACAGTCCCTAAGCAAAGTAGGTGATGGGATCTGTGAGGTGTTCAGGCTACTCTGAATATAATTCTAAGCAATGAACTAATTATTAACAAATAGTTATGCAAATGACAGATATGCTTACATCATTATCTTGACAGCTCGTTTGAGATTCAGTAGAATTGCTTCCAACAGATTCTGTCTCCATCTCACAAAGGTCAACAGGACAACTGTAAAATCATTTAGAAGAATATAGCATAAAACATTGATTTTTTTAGTGTTAAGATGCACTTTGTGCAGTTCTGAAAAATATGGCCAGAGGAGAGCAAAGAGACCTACAAAGATCACAGCAGGGTCCTGGCTGAAGGACCAACTACCCTCAGCCTGATAGCAAGTAAAGGGAAGCTAAAAGGAAGCTTTTATTTTAGATCCTATTGCTCTGCAGTAGTTTTAAAAATCAGCATTCCATTAAGAAAAACCACTACTTTAAAACTCCAAACTGCCTGCTAAGAAATTAAGTTCCATCTTTGTCCCCTTCATTCTCTACTGCCAGTTTTATGTCACATGTTGCTGATCAGCTGCATTGCTTTCTACAGAGGAAAATAACTGGGGCATCACTCTACATCTTCTAGAGCTTGGGCTGTGAACACTTGTGGCCGTGCTTTGAGCTTGGGATGAGCTCACAATTCTCCCTCACCGGAGAAGAAACATTTTATACCATTGTTCTTGACTAGCAAGTGAGAAGAGTGAGGCAGGTTCCTGTACAATGGATTGGTCCCAGCTCAATATTCAGGAGACCTGCCATTAGTGAGAATCTCCAGCCCTACTCCTACCAGAAATTTGAAGACTGCTCAGAAAGAATTGGTTCATATCAATGATGTGGTGATTATTTTACAGAGCAGTGCAGAACTGGCTCTGCTTTCACCATTAAAAAAGTGAGGGATATGTATGTATGCCCTTCCAAGGATACTGGGCAAAGATCAGGAAGCTATTGGATATTTTGACTGAGAAGAAACTGAACAGCACCAAGTGTAGATAAATAATTAGGGAAAACATTCAGCACTCACTGACTTGCCTCAAAAAGAACTATGCTGGGGGTGGTATTTATTTCTTAAACACGAGACTTCACATCATAATTTCTGTAACAGCATATTGAATACTCAGTACATACATTTCCTGCAGATCACATCCTCCTTCAGTTGGAGGATCCCAAGAATGCAGTGCAACTTTCCACAGTTTGATCTGCTGGTCCCATGACCTACGGCTGTACTTCTTAAATTTGTTTGGAGTTCTGGGATGAACTCCTGGTATGCGATGGCATCTGTTCAGATATTAGAGATGAAAAATTATCAGTGCTTTATTCACACATACATAACACAGCTTTAAGCGTTAACTGATTGTATTATTTATGAGGAAAGACCAACATGAAATTCCAGCACTCAAGCAAAGGTTTGCCAGCTCCATACAAACTTCTTAGTTTTTCTTACTCCAAGTCAAATGAAATAACAATAATAAAAAAGAATTATCATTCATAGATCTGAAAACTTCATTCCAAACTCCATAGCAACTGTAGCCCATTTTGTCTTGTAGTTAACTCATGAGAAAACTGACTGCAAAAAGCAGTTTCATTTCCTCTCACTGACAAGCACATCCAAAAGAACTTTCATTTCCATTTCAGCAGCATGAGGTATTTCTTATATAATGACTCATTAAAATAAAACTTTAAACCACACCCCAGTTGACTGTTAGTGTGATCTAACAGTTCAAAAATGTCTTAAAAGTTTAATTTGTAGATGCCTTCTATTTGAATGTGTATTGGATACCAAGTTTAGTACATTAATGTGCTTATAAAGAACAAGTATGACTTGCAGGTGGATATTTAATTTTCTAGAAAAAAGTCAAGCAGCTTACCTAGGAACTTCTTTAATGTATCTATCATATGCAATTGTGTTTTTTCCATAGTTTATCTGTTTTTGTCTTCTCATCAAAACCACCTCATCTGTCTCAAGCTCTACTGTCACCGTGGATTCCTTTGAATCGGAACTGAAGAAAAAAAACATTGCATGTTTGGGACTACTAGAAAACCACTGACACTCAAACCCACTTGTAAAAGGCTATAAATAAACATGCTAAAACTTTTCAAACAAATGCTTGGGGTGTTACTAAACCATGGTGTTGGAACAGACTTGAGATGAACTATTTTAAACTGTGTGTTTTAAGAAACACTGTACAACAAAAATTCTATTTTCAAGATTTTCCTCAGCTAAGCTAGAAATTTAACCTACCTTCCTGAAGAGGACTTCCTTTCTCTTGAAAATTCATTAATCAGGAGTTTTCTTCTGTGTCTGTAAGAATTCAAATCAGTTTTAAGAAATTATATACACAAAGAGGAACATGAAGGCTGCACTGTCACAGCTCACTGTTAAATGAACTTTTCAGAAAAGCAGCAGCACCCCAGACATTGCAAAGACCTTTTCCTATGAAATGGATGTTTCAGTTTTCCCTTAAAAAACAATAAAAAAACCAAGGAGTTTATTTTCCTGACTATTTTCCCTAAAGCAACTTCTTATAGTAATGATAGGAAAAAACAGTCATTAGTGGAGAGTATTTTAAGTATTTTAATCTAAGAGATTCAAGAAAAGCTTCTTCCAAAAGGAAGATATTTAGGGATACACATTCAATCTCCAGAGAGTATCCCATGACATTCCTGCAGGACTCAACCCAAAGCTAATCTAAAAGCAGCAGACAAGAGGCTAAGGTTGACCTGATTTTACTACAGCGGTGAAGTTAAAAAATACAACTTGAAACAGGTTCTACAACACAACCTCCATTTCTCTTCTTTTCACCACTTCCTCTTAAACACCCAGGGGGTACCTTGCGATTTCTTTGTGAACATTGGTCCTCATTTCATCTTCTTCCACTGCAGTTCCCCAGTCTAAACACCTGGAAAGGGGTCCAGGACCTTCTGGTGTTGTAAAACTAGAAAGGAAAAGAAAAAAAAATTAAGGCTCTATGTTAAATTTGGGGTTATTGTATACCTCCCCTACTTACAGCTTGATACCTTAAACATAATCATTTACAGTACTCAAAATGGCTGTGACTACCTTGTGCTCTATTAAAATTTTATCACTGTAAAATTAAGCATCAGTTGTGACTTCCACCTTGAGGTTGTGTGGTTTGTTGGGTTTTCTTAAAATTGATGTAGGTATCTATAGAAACCTACCACTGTAGTTTGAGAACCCAGCCCATGCTTTCAGTAATTTCCAGCTCATATTCTTCAGAAAATGGTACATGAAATACCAACTTTATTCATTTACTCACTTGTTTTCACTCTACTAAATGACTTAGCAATTATTTATTTGATGACTGCAGACTCGTTAGCTATATAAGAGACAAAAGCTGGAGCACAGAATTAAGTTGCAAAGCTAATTAATTAAAATTACATGATAGCACCAGGAGTTGCTTCATGTAAAAATATATGCCTAGTAGAGAAAGCAAAGGCACAAAACCATCCTATTTTAGCTAGGAAACTGAAATTTGCAGTGCCTTTGCAAACTGGTTTAACGACTTTGCTGCAGCCCCTTAGCATCACAAGCAGGTTCAGACTCTTTCAGGGGAATAAGCTCATATCCCTTCCCAACCACCTGCTGCTGCCTGCATTCAGATTATTCAGTGTTTCCCCCAAGTTTCCCTAAGTAAAACTCCAAACTGTATCCTGCAGAGCAGATCTGGAAATTCTCTGGAGACTTTCCAGGATTCTGTGCAAACATGTCCCTTGGTGTCAGGGGATTAGATCCATCTGCACCAAAACAGCTTCAATTCCCTCCCTGCTCCCAAATTGGTTTGCACAACTTCGAACGTTTTGTTAAATTCAAACTTACAGTTATTTTTAGATGAAACCCAGTTACCAACTTGACAAAATTAAAAATCCCTATCAAACACTACAGGTCCCTCTGCAAAAATCTGTTCAAGCTCCAAGGTTTTTTAACTTCTGCTTATACCAATTTCTAAACTTGCAGAGAATACAGGCCATGGTCAGTTACTGCTCTCCTGTGGTAGAGAACAACCAGCAGAATCCCAATTGGTCCCAGCTCCTGAGCTTTTTCCTCAACACTTGTTTGATTCTGTACCTGTGCTGTGATTATCAAGATGACCCAGCCTCCATCCTGATCCTCGTTACTTTTGAGAATTTTAACTTGACATGGTTGGATTGGCATAAACAAAAAGTAGTTTTGGCAGAGGAAGAGAGCAATTTCAGTCAGAGCTCGATCCAAACTGAAACCAGGAAGTATGTCTGCACAATTCAATACTGGGAGACACGCAGAAGTGTTGCTTATTTATGTTGAAACTATCAGTAAAGTTTCATCCTCTTGCTGCTGTTCAACCAGGCTTCCTGGAATTAGTTTAAGATACTCTGGATAGTGTAACTTGAGCCACTGACCAAGGTGTTCCCTGCTGATCGTCAGCAAAGGAAAATGGGTGGGCACAACCCACCCCGTTTTCAAGAAGCCTTGATTCAATCAACTCCCATCACAGATCAAAATGATTAAAGATAAAGAGAACTTGGCATGAACAGCTCAGACTGCCAATGTGATATAAAATAAGATACTTAAGTCCAGCTGTGCTGGCAAACACAGAAGGCAGCGTTATGGGGTGACCTGTGCTGAAATACAACACAACTTCTCTGTACTCCCTTCAAAAACAGAAAATAGTTGATTTCTAAGAATAGAATTTTTATCATTTACTTCAATTTTACCACAACTGTTTGTACAGCCTGTATTTAGAAACATAATGGGCCTGTACAATATTAGTCCTCGATAAATGGCAATAAACCAGCACGAAATAGGATATAAATTATCAAGGACATATTTCAAGAGGTAAGAATGAAAAATGCTGACTCTTAAGAACTGACTGCAAGATAAGAGCACTGCGCTCGATCCTTTTCCCTCCTTTAAGACCAGCTATTTATGGCCGATGAGCGACTGATAAACAGGCAGGTCTTGGCAGAAGGGTCAGCACAGCAGCTCCCGGCGAACAAAGAGCAGGAAGCCGCTGCCATTGTCAGCACCGCTCACCTGTCCAGCCGGCCGTCCTCGGGCCCGGGCTTGTTTTCCTCAAAGGCGGAGGATTCGGGCTCGTTCTGCCTCCGCCGCCTCCCATCGGCGCCGCGTTTCCTGGCCTGGGCCCAGCGCGGGGGGTGCTGCGGGCTGGGGACAAACACAGCGACCCGGCGGGGCTTTAGGGCTCCATCCTCCTCCAGAGACCGCGCTCGTTTACCCACCGCGCTCCCCACACCGCACACACTCACTGCGGGCCCCTGAGGGGCTCTGCGCCCCCACACCCCTCAGAGAGCTCCGCCGCGGGGCAGCGAGGCCCGGGCAGCGTGAGGGGAACGAGGCCCGGGCAGCGTGAGGGGAACGAGGCCCGGCGCCGCCACGCCCGGCTCAGCCCGGCGGCCCTACCTGCTTCTCGTGCTGCCGTGAGGGCTCCTCTGGCGGAAGGACATGGTGCGGGGGATCCTCGGCACGGAGGCCTGCAGGCAGAGCGGGGCGCGGGGAGCTGAGGCGGGCGGTGAAGGAGGGCCGGGCGGTGAGGGGCCGGCAGGCGGTGAAGGAGGGCCGGGCGGTGAGGGGCCGGCAGGCGAGGGCGGCTGAGGCGGGCGGTGAAGCAGAGCCGCGGGAGCGCTGCCGCCTTCCCGCTCAGCCCCTTCGCATCTCCCGCCGGCGCTGCGCCACACGCCCGCTCCGCCTCCCCGCGGGGCGCCTCCACGGGGACAGGTGCGGAGGGGGGGCGAGCGGGAAAGCGCAGCGGCCGCCCCGCGCCCGTACACGCTCACGCACGCCCCCACCCCCCCGGCAGGGTAATGGCTCAGCCCGCTCCGCCCGGCCCCGCCCCCGGGGCGTGTTGGCGGGAGAATCGAGCGCGGCGGCGCGCGGTTTTGGCGCGCGGCGGCGGCGGGATTCGCGTGAAACAACGGGGGAAAAATCCTGCCCAAACAAAAAGAAAAATACAAATTCCCGCGATTTAAGTATGAAGGATGACGGTCCCCGGCAAGGCTGCACAGTCGATGAAGCGCACAGGGTAGTTGAAGGGCCAGTTCAAACCCTACACCAGACAGTTACCACATAAATTTCAGAGTGACATGGCTTTAAATTCTGCATCAATAGTGAAGAAGGCTGGGTAACGACACGAGGCGGTTGTGCCTTGGTTCGTGGACCTTTCTGGGGTTTTTACTTGCACATGCATGCACAATGAGATCCCATTGGTCCTGCTATTGGGAATACACTCACATTTTAGAACAGTAATTTAGAAACAACCTGAAGAACTCCAGCAGAACACAAACAGCTTTTAACAATAATACATTTGCAGCCTGAAGAGTGGTGGGACACTCCAGAGAGATGGTTTTTCTTCTGGCCTTACAATCGCAGGATTACAAAGGTTGAAAAAGCCTTACAAAAACAGGTTCATTAAGGCTGGAAGAGCCCTCCAAGATCATCAAGTACAACCGTGATTAGCGAGGCACTGCTAGGTCCATTGCTAAACCATGTCCCCAGGTACCACTTCTGGTAAAACAGATGGCAGAAGCAGCAAACAAAAATTTGTTTCGTGGGTTTCTCTAATCAGCTTAAAACACTAAAGCAACTATCAAAGTGCTGCAATGGTTTTGGAGAAACTTTCTGAGCACACAGTAACAGGCGGTGTTTGGTTTTGATTTTTTAAAATAAAGATACACTCCAGCCTTGCTATGCATGAAGGGATTTACTTTGAAAATTCCATTCCCGCTGCCTGACCCTACTGTGTTAAATTTTGTACAAACTCACACATTTTCTGTGTGGCATCTGCATGAACATCCACATTCCTGCAGAAAAGCCTGCTCTGCTGGCACCTCTCCTTTCCCACATACTACTGTGGAAAACAGAACTGTGTTCTTGAACCAAGGTCATGCTTGAAATACAGCAGAGGTTCAAAACATGCACAAACAAACTCCCCTCCCTTCAGCCTGGCTCTGACCAGCTAGACCAGCATGTTTACCTGAACACACCCATGCAAGGCAAACAGAGGACAGCTACAGCCTGAAAGCCACACTGCACTTTTGGCACAACACTATCTACAAATTTAATTCAGTTTATCCAGCAGAACTATCTCCTGGAACATGGCTCAGGGATTACAGCTGCACTGCATCTTTCTGTCCTTGTCAGCAACAAAAGTCCTTCAGAGAAGCAGTTTCACACCATGGTGGGAGTTTAGGGGAGGAGATATCCTCAGATGTGACCTCAAAGGAGTTTTAGAAACAAAATAAACTACACACAACCCGTGGCATTTCAGAACTGGCTGCGAAGGATGGTTTCCACAAGCACAGATAATGTATCATCTATAAGGAGATTCTCCCAGTGGAAGCATGCCAACAGAAGATACTTGTTATTTCTAGGGAGAAATTGAAACCTGTCTGCTGAAGTTCAGGGTATATTTTGGTTTAATTATAAACTAAGCACAGATTTATGCAGAGATTTAATTAAGTTGGGTAAAATTAAAAGGAAAAACTGGGGGTGGAGTGCCAGACTTCTGTTTCACTTACCTCAGTTGCAAACTGTGTCAGACAGCCTTGGGTAGGTAAACAAGTGCATAGACAGGCAGCATTCCAGTTTTGACTGCTCTATTTAGACTAATGAGGTTACTAATTAGAACACAGGGTGATTTTACATCCAGTGGCATCACTACATGATATGACTTTAGCAGACCTCAAACTTCATCTGCTGTTTCATTCCTTCCCTTGTGCTACCATAGCTTGTTCAAGCACACAGAATCTGGATTAGGAAATAAATCTGCCCCAAATTCAACTGCCACAGGCAGATTGGTTATGCTATGTCTAGTCTAATACCTTCAACCAAGAAATATGAAGATCTTTTAAGGACTGCTGAATTGCAAAATCCTATGGATGTGTCCCTAAATCCCTTGCAGACCCTGTCTATCATAGGCAAAATCTCTTCATACTCATAAAATACTCCAATAAATACTTAAGATGAGTTTAAGTATTTCTCAACAGCCTTATTACTCTCACCTAGCAGTTCCATCTCCAGCAGGACCCCTTTTCATGGCAGAATGGGTGCTGGGACTTCAGCTTCCCCCTCCCACTACGTTACAATGCATTAACACTGAGGGGCTGGACAAAACCAGTATTGTAATCTGCCTTCAAGACTCTGATTTTAATCTCTGAAGACTCCTCTTTTCCCCTTTTAGCAAGGAGTAAAAATCCAAAATCACTACCCAAACCAAGCAAACACCCTAAAAAAAAAACCAAGAAAGAACTACTGAACCCAGATATTCCTTTTATAATCAAACTGACAACACAACTGCAAAAACAGACTAGCAAGGATTTTTAAAGTTCAAGTCTTTAATTCTTCTGCATAAAGGCAAATTGCCAAAAATGTAACACATTCCCTTTATTTACAAGCACCCTAAATCACAAGGAAACGTGCACATTGGAACAACAAGGTTCTAAATATTACCTCTTAGAAAAGTGCTGTACAGATGTGTCCCTCGTACACACATGCTCCGTGCTCTGTGGTGTGTGACTGATACACCCTTGTGCTGGGAAAAATGCCTGAGCATGCCTGGAAATAACATTTTGAGAGGGAGAATAGTTTCTGAGGAAGCAGCTTACTTCAAAATCAGCAGCACAATGGGCTCTTGGCCCTGGGTACTGCCAGCCCTATAGCAAGAGAAAGTAAAACCAAATTCCTGCAGAGACAACTCCCAGCTCCAGCAGCCATTGGTATCCCAGTACATGCTACACAAGGATTGTAAAATTCCTGTAACTGGCATGTGAATTTAGTCCAAACACGGTAGCCACAGCTCTCACTTCAAACTTCTGCACACAGTGTTAGCAGAATAAAAAAAAAGAGAGCCTGTCCCAACACCATCACAACCCTTAGCCTGGACAAGAGCATCTCCACACCTGCAAATACTGCTATTCATCCCCAATAGTTGTAGGAACAACAGGCACTGAATGCATCCTCTCCTACTCTTTAACTGTAGACTGGCTCTTTGGGTCAGGCTGCAACACACATAAACACAAAATCCAGGTATTTAAGCTGTGCTTCTGTTCTAACAGTCACTCAACCCCTCCAAGAAAAGGATCTGATTTTGATAAACCATATACCTTTCCTTTCACTTCTCTCACCTGGCTTAGGCAAATGCCACCTTAATACATCTCAGATAACAATAAATAGGCCAAATGGGTGACCACCCAATCCAAAAATTATGAACAGCTTGTCTTCAATGACTGGAGGAAGGCTGAAATTAGCTACATTCTTCTGAAGCAGTTCTTCAGGCTGGATGTCCAGTTCTGGTCCAGTGGAGCAGAGGAGGTTCCTTGATTGGAGGGGTTGGATTTCAGTCTGACTTGACACTGGACCAATTCACTGGTAAAACTTCAGCACACCCTGAGGAACAAGACCTCCAGAGGGAATGGCAGGATCCATCACCTGAAGCAGCCTTTGAAAAATAATGTACATGTCACCCGCCAACGCAGGCACAGCAGAAATGCCCTCACAAAAGCTTTAAGGAACATCCATTGTCATTGCAGCACAGGTTCACGAAATCTGGAGTTTTACACTTGAGGCACAGCTTGCAGAAAACAATCTATCCTTAGAAAGAGCTGGAGAAACCTAAACAAAACAGCAGATAACAGCATTTTATAAACGTGCTATATCCAGGCCTTAACAACAAAACATTTTCCTCCTTTCCTCTTTTAAGCTGCAGTGTTACAGCAGCAGTAAACGGAAGAGAGCACTGCACATGGTGAGCTTATAGCATGGTATAAAGGAGAAACTCATACTGTGCATACTAAAGAAAGTATTACAGCTAGTATGAACATTTTGAGAATGTAACTTACTGAAAAAATACAGTACTAGATACCCTACATTCATAAAGTATTTGTCAGAGAGAAAAGGAAGCAGCTGAGCCTATTTTCCCCAACCCCTTGCATCGTTTTCACCTAAATGTAATTATTAATTCATAAAACACGCTTTTATATTGATTCTAATTAACAAATTTCTGACATATCTTAAGTATCCTATTGACAAAGGTTTTTCCCTAGAAATCAACCAGATAATTTCTGTCTAAAACAGGAATAAATGTCAATGTTTCTTTTAGCAAAAGGGAAGGTAGTGTGGAATTCTACCATGTAAACCACTATCTGGTTTTCAAGCAAGATTAAACTTCCACAGATAAAGTTCCTGACACTTGAGAGTTAGAGCTCATCACACCTAAAAGCCAAGGTTAGAGGCAAGGCTTCTCTAAATACTGACTTTCCATCTCAGAAAACCAATGTGTTGCTCCACAGAGAAGGTATTCACTTGATATATTCTACATCTAACAGAGCCCTTTTTTCAATTACATTTGATTACAAACCCACTCCTTATATACACTTCTTAATACAGCCTTATTTACAACAAAGACCACTGTGAAAAAAGATAAATATCAACTATGTGGGAACCAGAAAGACTCTTAACTGTGACACAGAGATGTTTCCTTTACCTGAATAATTTCACCTTATGTTGATTGCAAGTATGCTGACTGCAAATCTCTTCCAGTGCAGATCCTACATGACAGCACCAGTTTTCCAAGACTTGATCTGCTGATCTCAGACTAAATCCCTATTCTTCAAGTCTTTTTCTTGAGAAAATTGCTTCTTCAATACTTCTATATACAAAGAGAGACTAGATATTTTCAAATATTGAATTAGCACATTAGAAAAGTGAAAGCATATTAAATCTTATTCATGCTCAAATAATTTAAATTAAAAATCAATAAAGTAAAAAGAAAAATGTCATCAGCATAATTTTTTAAAAGCTCTAGCTGTCTTTTCCTCACATTGCTATAATCCAAAATCTAAATGTAAAACTAATTTTGGCCATATTCTTAATGAGTTTTATAAGGCAAAATTTTCAAAGATCACAGATTAATAGATATTTATATCATAGTCCACATTTAATAGCCTGCATCAAATGTAGATCAAAGACAATCTAATTACACAATGACTAATTTCTAATAAAATCTGTTTAACCCAGATTACCACCCATCCTATTAATGCATCACAGGAATCTACAGTCCAAGAGAAAATTTTCACTAAAATCTATTGCTGCAAATGCCAAGTTGTTACTTCATCACAAAAATATTAAGAGACAGAAAAGGTGCTATTGAAATACTTAAAAAAATTGGCACTTGTCATTTGAGAGATAAAAAAACATTTTCTGGCTGACAGGTAACAATTTCAATTTAGCAAATTGAAGCATTAGGTCTTTTAATTAAGGTGCTATATTAAGTGCAAGAGAATGGGATAAAACACTAACAAAATAAAAGAAAAAAGGATCTACGTGAACAGTTGCATTCTGTAGAATGATACTGTGGATGGGCGACTGAAACAGCACAGATCAAGTAAGCAGTCAGCAGAAACTCACCTTGGGATTTAGATTTTTTCCCTCAGTATTGTATCTTCAGCATTTGCACTTCCCAATCCTCTGTCAGGGTATTCTGACTGATATCCATCCGATAAACTGCTACAAAGTTTAAGCCTACAAATAAAGAAACAAAAAAACCCAACGACTAACTGGCTTTATTATGGTAACTTTAAAAACTAAATACAGTAACAATCCATTTATATTAACACAGCCTATAACATGAAAACATAAGGCCAGAATTGACCACACAACATATAAATATTGATCAAGACATCCCTAAGATAAATAGCGAAAAACAGCTAAATAAAAAAATAAAATCAAATGTTTATAATAAATCCTTGGATTGAATTACAGCAAGAAAGCAACTAAGCAACTAAAATAACATACAAAAATGCATCTCAAACCCAGCTGATGAGCTGCATTTGATACCTCTCAAGCCTGAAGTCTGTATCTCTCCAAGTCTTGCTGTCAGGCAGAAAGAACCTGGATTGCTTCTGTTTTGGATTGTTCCATCCTGAAGAATAACTGGGTGGAATTGAGTCACTGCATAAAAACAAACAACTATCAGAGGGGTCACCACAAAGCAACTTAATCTCTAGGGAGACAGACAGAGGAAGCTTCCAGCTCTTAGGCTGAGCAAGTGAGAGGCAAACATCCAATTCTTTCAACAAGTCAGAGTGTGAAAGGGACTCATCATTTTCCATCGTTAAGTGGGATGGCAGAGGCAGCAGAAAGCAACAGATGGAGACTCAGACTGGAAAAAGCCAAGTAAGCTCAAAGAACAGAAACAACAACCAAACATACCCACATGCTGGAGGAAATGTAAGAAGGCAAACAAAAAAAGTAGTAGTAACCAGTGAAGGAAAAGATGAAAAAGAAAAGGAAAGGACACCTTTACAGCAGAGGCAGCAAATAGAAATAACAACATAATCACCGGGGTATTTACCTTGTTATTCCCATACTTTGTTGTACTGTCATTACTTCAGCTTTTTCACCAAAGGCTTCCCACACTGAGCACTTTGAAAAAGCATCCTGATGTCCTGAGTCAGTAAGGCTGGAAAGGAAATGAAAATGTCTGAATCCATGCACTTTAGTAACACAGTTCCTCTTAAATGTTCAGAAAAAGGCTAAGCAGAGAGAAGAAACCATACCTACATGAATATTTTTACCAAGGTAAGTGTGAAATGTCTACTAAACTGCCAAAATCTTTAGTGTTGCCTAAATCTACGCTCAAATTGCAACCTGTGCTGTGTGTTCTGATACTTTGCAACAGAGCACTGTAAACATTTGCTCTCCTACAGCACAACTATTCTGACAGGATTACCCTTACTCATCAAATCGCACACATTCAGATAAAATTAAAGCTATGAACCAAGGGAGGGGAAAATACCAGTCATATACCAAAAACCAGTTCATAGTATCAATGAATTCCCACAAGGAGAATCATTTCATACCTTTCCAGTGTGTGGCACATCTGCAGATAATGGTTTTTGCTCTCTGAAACCACAGAGGAGTCAGAATTGTTTCTTCTTCTGCGTTTCCATACTGGAGAAGAATTGGGAGAACAGGAACTACAAAAACAGATTTTACACACGTAACATTTTTTATCTATGTTTAAATGTTTATCAGTGTTCTGCTAACTAAGAGCATATGCTGCTAAGGAAGTTGCCTTTTGGGGTGTGATTCTTCAGTCACACAGAGAACACTGAGCAAATTGCTCACAGTTTAGAAGCAAAACCATTCTGAGCTTCACACACATCTCCCCAGGACAAGATATTTCACTAAACAGGGAAATGCAAGTCACAGTCAGCCTCCCTGCTGTGCTGCACACAGGCACAACACTATGAAGGATGGGGACTGAAAGCATCTGAAATAGCTTCCCTACTTTCATGACATTTCAGCAAGGGATAAAGAAACCTGAATACTCTGCTGTATAAACTGAGAAGCTGAAAAAACACTGCACTTCCTTCTGTTAAATCATGTAATTCAGCAATGCTGGTAATTTTTCCATATTCAGTGCTCTGTACCACGGGGGGATTACATTCAACAGCAAAAGTGTCAAACTCCAAAGCTGAGTATTAACTGCCCTTCCACATTAAACATGTCCTACAAAAACCTGACAGCACTGACATGTACTGAATTATTTCCCTAAGTTAAGCACAGAAGTTTGCTCTCATACCTCTCAGGTGTCTGGGTAGTCTGTCTGCACTCATCTCCACACTCACTTCTTGGCTGCTTTTCATCAAACTCAAAAAAGCCAGGAACATCCTCATCTTTGCAGAACCATTCCTGGGGACTACCTGAAGGTTCGGTACTACTAAATACAGCAGAAAAAAAACCAAAAAACAAACAAAAAAAACCCTTTAAAAAACTATCCGTCTGGCTTACTGCTCCAAACAGAAAACTATTCAGCTGCATAAGAATTAACAGTTCATCTGACACCCAAATGGTGTAAAAATTGCAGCTTCTACACAAGTCAATTACAACAGAGGTAAAACGATTTACACAGTGCAGAAACATATCTAAGAGAATTCCATTCACTCTTCTCCTCCGAATTAACTCTCCTCTACCAGAAAAGTAATTTTACCTTGTGCCCACCATTGTAAATAGAAAGGGGAAGGGAGTGTACTACTACAGGCAGACCAAATGTCTTTCTCCCTGTAACACCTGACTGCAGATTAACTTAAGACTAAATAACTGCAATATCTTGAAGACTAACAGAATTCAAATGGAAAATAATGCATATAAGAAGACTCCCACAGCTGAGTCTGATCTCTTTTCCCCCAGTCAGGAATGCTCTAAAGGAACTACAGAGCCCTCCTTCGATTCCTTAAGCCCTGACTTAATTCACCCAGGTAACATACACGGGCTGCAGGTCCCAGGTTTCTTCAGCAGGAGGATCCCAGGCATGCAGTGCTATCTTCCACAGCTTGATCTGCTGGTCCCAGGACCTGCGGCTGTACTTCTTAAACTTGTTGGGAGTTGTAGGGTGAACTCCTGGAAGTCGCTGGCTCCTGCAAACACACAGTGACATTTGTTAATTCAGAGCATAAGGAGTGTTTCCCTTAAGAGCAATCCTTAGTCCATCAGGTCACACCAGCATCAGTGGTCTAATAAACAAAACATTCATATTTTTAAACACCTACATGTGTCTCTTATGTTACCAAAAATAAATCAAAAAAGCAGCAACCAAGCACTCTGACAGCTGCCAAAAGCACAGCCCTACAGCCCATGAACAAAGATGAAACAGAAGCATAACTCATACTGCTTCAATATTATCCTAACCCCCAGCTCCTTCTATTTACTTTTCCTCAGTCAAGTGCAGCTTCTTTGATTTGGTATTGTACTCAGATTGTACCTTCCTCCCCAGCAGTTCCTGTAGGGCTGTGTTTTGCACTAACTGCTAAAACAGTCCTGACAAACACACTGCCTTTTGGGCATTACTGAACAGTGCTTGCCCAGCTTCAAGGCCTTCTCCTTTCCCCACCCACAGACACTAAAATGAGAGCCAACACTAAGTTGAGAGGGAAAAGTGCTGGGACAGCTGACTCCAATTACCCAGAGATATCACACATCATATCCTTTCACACTCAGCAGTAAAAACCACAGGAAGAATTTCAAGAAGACTAAGGTTGTGTGCTATTCTACACTCACACACACACACAGGAACAATTAAGAGTTCATGTGGAAATCTGCAACACAGGGCAGCTTACTTTGGGACTTCTTTAATGTATCTGTCATATGCAAGGGTATTCTTGCCAAAATTGATCTGTTTTTGTCTTCTCCTCAGGACCACCTCATCCGTTTCCCTTTCAGCTGGATTGGCGGAGTTGCTTGAAACAGAACATGAAAATAAAAATAAAAATTAAGTTGAAAAGAACCTTAATAGCTTTTTAAGAAGTTACAGAAGCAAATATTCTAGAACTGCCCTGTATTCTTAATGAGAGACAGTGAGCATAACTCTTACCTCACTAGTTCACACAAATGAAAGCTGTACTAACCAAATCTCAATCTCAAATAATCACACAAGTAGCTTTTGAGATGAAGCTTTTCAGTGATACTCCCCGCTTCAGGCTTGATATGAAACAGCCTGTCTGGGGTTTCAAATCTGCTTTATTGCATGTGAATGAGTCAGAGATCATCACATGGTTGTTGCTAAAACCAGTGCAACAAGAAGCAGTAATAGTTCAATACCTACTTTGTCATTTTGTTATTTGATGCTCTCATTGCCTTGCCTTCTTCAGTTCTACCTTCCCAGCTGGGGCACCTGGAAAGAGGCCCAGAATGTTCTGATGTTGTCGAGCTAGGAAATAATGGGAATTCAACAGGAATGTTTGCTGCTTGTAACACATTTAATCAACAGAAACATCAAAAATTGACAAAACCAGCTCCACAACAGTAAAACCATGGGCATGTTCCTTCTCTATTTCAGTTCTTAGTCACCTTCAGCCTGCCCTCTTCTGTCATTTCATTGCCTCAACCTTTAACAAGTCAGAAGCAGATTTATCTGATAGTCTTACTTTCCCTAAATGGTTTCACATCAACAGATGAAATTGCCATGAAAGCTGACAATGTCATTTTAACTCACTAAAAATATTCCACTTTGAAATGGAACACGTCCACTCAGCAAAGAAAAATACAAAACACTGCTGGCACATCCACTGAAGTCTCACACTCATGCCCTACTCTTATGATTTTTTATGACCACCTCAAAGACACAGAAACACTTCTGAATACAAGGCTTTTCCTAAGGTCTTCAAAACATTAATGAAGCAATATTAAGCATGCCATCAAAAATTAAAATCACCTTCATACAGTGGAAAACTTAGATACGTACAAATTATGTTAAAAATTATTTTCATGTTCCCTTGGTAAAACATTTCCTCTTACATTCTGTTCAGTTTTCTGCACTCACTACTTTTCACCCTTGCTATCCGACTCTAAGTCTGAACCAGTCTCAACCACTTCTTCCACCTTGGGTCTTTAGTCTAGAACACCAAAAAGCCAAGCAAAATATTCATAGAATTACCCAAGTATAAAATTCTATCTCATCTCAAATTGTCCTCAGGAATGGACTACAGGGGAAAAATAGGTGCTCACTAAAAACTGCAGTACAGCTGAATATACCACGTGGATGGTGAAGAGACAAAGATGGTCTGCCCACATTTACACATAAAGATGCAAAAGCAAAATGTAAGAATAACAACAAATGGCTTTCATTGGGAATTTTATACTAATACTGAAGATTTCAGCAATAAAGGGTTTGAACTACTGCTTCAGTACATAGCCCTTCTCCCTTTCATTCTGAATATTTGCTAATACTGTGGCATGTATTTCAAGGAGACAGACTGAGTGGTCTTATTTAGGCATGATGCATGCCTCAAGAACTCTGTGCTACTCTATGAGAAGAAAACACTCAACCTAAACACGTTCAAGCTTTTCTTGGAGTCCTAAAGAAGAGCTCAGCAAAGTGGAGATGTAAAAAAAAAAATTTACACTTACTCCTTACCTCTCCAGCAAGTGGTCTGAATGGCCACACTGATATTCCTCAAACACCAGAGAATCTGAATCATTGCAGTTTCCATGTTTCTGCTCTTGATGCCAGCAGTGTGGATGTTGCATAGAACTAGAAAACAAGAATTTTCATCTGAAATCAAGTCACAGATAGACACTGAACATGGCCTATAGAAATCAAAGATGAACAATTTGATTTGGCATACGGATGTGTGATCCCTACCAACTTACTCAGGCAACACATACTCAACAAAGGTGTTAGTGCAATTGCTGAGGAAGTATCTTTGATCAATGCAATTAAGACATCAAAATTTTCAAATAAACAACTAATATTTTGATAACACAAAACTTACTCTTTTTGCAAACAAAATGGTGGGGAAGAAAACCTAACTGAGGACTGCCACCAGCGTTTATGGACTTGTGGGCATGTCCATCTTCTGTCAGCAGTGATATTTATTTACTGCCCCATCCAGCAGTAAACTCAAAGACAAGGCAAGTCTAGAAACTACACTTCAACACAATGGCTAGGCAGAAGTAGGTCAAATGTTTATGTGGAAACACTTTTACACAGGATTCATTCTTGACCAGAAGCAGCTGCTCCTCACAAGGAGGCCTGGGACAGGGAGCTGCCTCTAGTGCTCACAACACACTGGTGGGTCAGCCAGGGATTGCTTAAGGGTTGAGTTCTCTACATTCTCCTCCTCGGTTCTGGCAGCTCTGACATTTTAAATGACAGGTTACTAAACAAAACACAACTGTAGCATCTACCAACACCAGAGCTGGCTTCTGGGCTAAGGAGGGCAGCTGCAGATCCACCTGCCCGACAGAACCATCTGGCACTGCAGCCTCTGCACTGTAAGTACACAGTGTTTCTGTATGTGTGAGTTATAAATAATAGAGTTATTGGCTTTTGCATTTATGTATTAACTTTTGTTTTGCAAGTTATTATCGATCACAAAAGTCCTGCTATAGTATGATTTGTAATTACTGCTTTTGATATAATATAATCTGTCAGTTTATATATGCACTGTATAGCTTTTCTAATAGTAGTGTAATATATACTATTTTAGATCATGGCATAATAGAGACTGTTAAATGCTGAAGTGATTTTTCATGTAACTAACTCAGAAAATGGTCTAAAAAAATTTAGGTGACTTTCCACATTTGGAGACTATTTTATCTAAAAGACAAGATAACAGAAACAGAAATCAGAGCACCAAAAGAAGAAAGAATTTATTAAATCTCATTAGCATGGAGTGAAAATACAAAAGGATGGAGCCACGAGAAGAAATAACATAATTAGTTTAATCTACAAGATGAAGACAAGGCAAAGGTTAAAATGAAGCAAAAGAACATCTAAACTCAATACTGTATTTGACTATGTATAAACTGCTATGAATATGCATGTACCACCTGAAATGTAACAGAATGCAGAGAACATGGTGTAAGTTAGGTGTCCTTTTGGCAGAGTCAAGCACCCCAGCGCTGGATTTTATCCCATTTATGCCTTAATAAATTTTTATACAAATTTTAAATAGTGAGCTGTGTTACTCACACAATTAGATAAATGTTTTATATAGGACATACTATTGCTACATGCCAGTGCTTCCTTGGAAAAACAAATTTTTAGCCATTGCCCCTGCTGATTTAATAACATCCAGTGTCACCCCTTCCCATCTGGTGGTTGTGAAAAGTATTTGGAGGCTTTTTTTCCCCCTAAGGTTCTTATAGAGATTTCATACACACTTTCTTCCATTTATGCAACCTTCTGCATTCAGGCTGTAGTGGGAAAATCCATCCAAGGAAGACTTACCATGTACACCTTCAGGAGAATTTAAGCCCTATTTGTATTTATTCCCATGTTCTCGGGTAAGACACTGCATACAGATAAGCCAGAATGATTTCCACCCATATGAAGTTTTATCTGGTAGACATAACTTTAAAATTAAAACCAGAAGTCTTACAAATAATTGACTGTATTTTTATTGAGCTCTTCGGAGGGTTTTAAGATTAATTGCATGTATTCATTAAGCCTTTTCCCTAAGGGCTATCCAAATAATACTGTTCATTTTAAACAGGCAAGCTATATACAAAAAAAAAAACCCAAAAAACAAACCATCAACCTCAAAAACCACAAATGAGAAATCCTGCAGTATGTCTTTGGAAGAAAATGTCTTGTATTCCATATAAGAGCTTGAGTATTTATATCTCAACTCCTTAAACAGCTCAAAGTCCACAAACATTTCTTTAAAAATGGCACTGAGAACCTCAGTCTTACTGAGGTTTGTCCTGAATGGGATGGTGCTAAGCTGCAGTCTAGCAAGTTTTACAGTATCAGAGAAAGGTGAGAGATGGAAGGGACCTTAAAGACCATCCAGTTCTAACCCTCTGCCAAGGGAGGGGACACCTTCCACTAGAACTGCCTGCTTGAAGTCCTCTTCAATCCCTTTAGCATTTCCATGAATGGGGCAGCCACAACTACTCTGGTCAATTTAGTCCAGTTTACAGAGACAAAATAAAAATACTCATATTGAAGAGATCCCATGATAACTTGGTATCTTGGTTTCAAGCAACACCAAACCTCATGGTAGAAAAACTGTACTCATATGGTGGATTAAAAATATCTCCTGCTTGGAAAAAAAAAAAAAAAAGTCTTTTTTGGGTTGACAAATTATGTTAACCTAAAAAAACAACAGGTAACATATTTTCCTAATATACACTGGGATACTATGAATGGTAGAAATAAATAATATAGCCATGACTCATGTTTTGAGAAAGACCTGTTGAGCTGCAGCATGCTGGGAAATTTGGGCTATACCAATACTTTCCACAAGACAAAGCTTGAAAGGGACTCATCATTTTCCATCATTACCTGGGATGGTAGAGGCAGCAGAAAGCAACAAATGGAGACTCAGATTGGAAAAAGCCAAGTAAACTCAAAGAACAGAAACAACAACCAAACATACCCACATGCTGGAGGAAATGTAAGAAGGCAAAAAAAAAAAAGTAGTAGCAACGAGTGAAGGAAAAGATGAAAAAGAAAAGGTAAGGACACCTTTACAGCAGAGGCAGCAAATAGAAATAACAACATATGATAAATACACTGGGGTATTTATCTTGTTATCCCTATACTTTGTTGTACTGTCATTACTTCATCTTTTTCACCAAAGGCTTCCCACACTGAGCACTTTGAAAAAGCATCCTGATGTCCTGAGTCAGTAAGGCTGGAAAGGAAATGAAAATGTCTGAATCCATGCACTATGGTAACACGGTTCCTCTTAATTTTTCAGAGGGGGGCTAAGCAGAGAGAAGAAACCATACCTACATGAACATTTTAACCAAGGTTAGTGTGAAAAGTCTACTAAACTGCCAAAATCTTTAGTGTTGCCTAAATCTACACTCAAATTGCAACCTGTGCTGTGTGTTCTGATACTTTGCAACAGAGCACTGTAAATATTTGCTCTCCTACAGCACAATTATTCTGACAGGATTACCTTCCTCATCATATTGCACACATTCAGATAAAATTAAAGCTATGAACCAAGGGAGGGGAAAATACCAGTCATATACCAAAAACCAGTTCATAGTATCAATGAATTCCCACATGGAGAATCATTTCATACCTTTCCAGTGTGTGGCACATCTGCAGATAATGGTTTTTGCTCTCTGAAACCACAAAGGAGTCAGAATTGTTTCTTCTTCTGCGTTTCCATACTGGAGAAGAATTGGGAGAACAGGAACTACAAAAACAGATTTTACACACGTAACATTTTTTATCTATGTTGAAATGTTTATCAGTGTTCTGCTAACTAGCAGCATATGCTGCTGAGGGAGTTTCCTTTTGGGGTGTGATTCTTCAGTCACACAGAGGAACACTGAGCAAATTGCTCACAGTTTAGAAGCAAAACCATTCTGAGCTTCACACACATCTCCCCAGGACAAGATATTTCACTAAACAGGGAAATGCAAGTCACAGTCAGCCTCCCTGCTGTGCTGCAGACAGGCACAACACTATGAAGAATGGGGACCGAAAGCATCTGAAATAGCTTCCCTACTATCATGACATTTCAGCAAGGGTTAAAGAAACCTGAATACTCTGCTGTATAAACTGAGAAGCTGAAAAAACATTGCATTTTCTTTCTGTTAAACCAAGTAATTCATCAATGCTGGTCAATTTTCCATATTCAGTGCTCTGTACCATTGGGGGATTACATTCAACAGCAGAAGTGTCAAACTCCAAAGCTGAGTATTAACTGCCCTTCCACACTAATCATTTCCTACAAAAACCTGACAGCACTGACATGTACTGAATTATTTCCCTAAGTTAAGCACAGAAGTTTGCTCTCATACCTCTCAGGTGTTTGGGTAGTCTGTCTACACTCATCTCCACACTCACTTCTTGGCTGCTTTTCATCAAACTCAAAGAAGCCAGGAACATCCTCATCTTTGCAGAACCATTCCTGGGGACTACCTGAAGGTTCGGTACTACTAAATACAGCAGAAAAAAACCAAAACAAACCTTTAAAAAACTATCCATCTGGCTTACTGCTCCAAACAGAAAACTATTCAGCTGCATAAGAATTAACAGTTCATCTGACACCCAAATGGTATAAAAAGTGCAACTTCTACACAAGTCAATTACAACAGAGGTAAAACTATTTACACAGTGCAGAAACATATCTAAGAGAATTCCATTCACTCTTCTCCTCCAAATTAACTCTCCTCTACCAGAAAAGTAATGTTACCTTGTGCCCACCAGTGTAAATACAAAGGGGAAGGGAGTGTACTACTATAGGCAGACCAAATGCCTTTCTCCCCGTAACACCTGACTGCAGATTAACTTAAGACTAAATAACTGCAATATCTTGAAGACTAACAGAATTCAAATGGAAAACAATGCATAAAAGAAGACTCCCGCTGCTGAGTCTGATCTCTTTTTCCCCAATCAGGAATGCTCTAAAGGAACAACAGAGCCCTTTGATTCCTTAAGCCCTGACTTAATTCACCCAAGTAACATACACGGGCTGCAGGTCCCAGGTTTCTTCAGCAGGAGGATCCCAGGCATGCAGTGCTATCTTCCACAGCTTGATCTGCTGGTCCCAGGACCTGCGGCTGTACTTCTTAAACTTGTTGGGAGTTGTAGGGTGAACTCCTGGAAGTCGCTGGCTCCTGCAAACACACAGTGACATTTGTTAATTCAGAGCATAAGGAGTGTTTCCCTTAATAACAATACTTAGTCCATCAGGTCACACCAGCATCAGTGGTCTAATAAACAAAACATTCATATTTTTAAACACTTACATGTGTCTATTATGTTAACAAAAAATAAATCAAAAAAGCAGCAACCAACCACTCGGACAGCTGCCAAAAGCACAGCCCTACAGCCCATGAACAAAGATGAAACAGAAGCATAACTCATACTGCTTCAATATTATCCTAACCCCCAGCTCCTTCTATTTACTTTTCCTCAGTCAAGTGCAGCTTCTTTGATTTGGTATTGTACTCAGATTGTCAAGGATGGAGTTACCTTCCTCCCCAGCAGTTCCTGTAGGGCTGTTTTTTGCACTAACTGCTAAAACAGTGCTGATAAACACACTGCCTTTTGGGCATTACTGAACAGTGCCTGCCCAGCTTCAAGGCCTTCTCCTTTCCCCACCCACAGACACTAAAGTGAGAGTGAACACTAAGCTGAGAGGGAAAAGTGCTGGGACAGCTGACTCCAATTACACAGAGATATCACAAATCATATCCTTTCACATTCAGCAGTAAAAAACACAGGAAGAATTTCAAGAAGACTAAGGTTGTGTGCTATTCTACACTCACACACACACCAGGAACAACTAAGAGTTCATGTGGAAATCTGCAACACAGGGCAGCTTACTTTGGGACTTCTTTAATGTATCTGTCATATGCAAGGGTATTCTTGCCAAAATTGATCTGTTTTTGTCTTCTCCTCAGGACCACCTCATCCGTTTCCCTTTCAGCTGGATTGGCGGAGTTGCTTGAAACAGAACATGAAAATAAAAATAAAAATTAAGTTGAAAAGAACCTTAATAGCTTTTTAAGAAGTCACATCAGCACATATTCTAGAACTGCCCTGTATTCTTAATGAGAGACAGTGAGCATAACTCTTACCTCACTAGTTCACACAAATGAAAGCATACTAACCAAATCTCAATCTCAATCACACAAGTAGCTTTTGAGATGAAGCTTTTCAGTGATACTCCCCGCTTCAGGCTTGATATGAAACAGCCTGTCTGGGGTTTCAAATCTGCTTTATTGCACGTGAATGAGACAGAGATGATCACATGGTTGTTGCTAAAACCAGTGCAACAAGAAGCAGTAATAGTTCAATACCTACTTTGTCATTTTGTTATTTGATGCTCTCATTGCCTTGCCTTCTTCAGTTCTACCTTCCCAGCTGGGGCACCTGGAAAGAGGCCTAGAATGTTCTGATGTTGTCGAGCTAGGAAATAATGGGAATTCAACAGGAATGTTTGCTACTTTTAACACATTTAATCAACAGAAACATCAAAAATGGACAAAAGCAGCTCCACAACAGTAAAACCATGGGCATGTTCCTTCTCTATTTCAGCTCTTAGTCACCTTCAGCCTGCCCTCTTCTGTCATTTTATTGCCTCAACCTTTAACAAGTCAGAAGCAGATTTATCTGATAGTCTTACTTTCCCTAAACGGTTTCACATCAACAGATGAAATTGCCATGAAAGCTGACAATGTCAATTTAACACACCATAAAGATTCCACTTTGAAAAGGAACAAACCCACTCAGCAAAGAAAAACAAAAAACAAAAACACCGCTGGCACATCCACTAAAGTCTCACACTCAGGAGTCCTCAGGAATGGACTACAGGGAAAAAAATAGGTGCTCACTAAATACTGCAGTACAGCAGAATATACCATGTGGATGGTGAAGAGACAAAGATGGTCTGCCCACATTTACACATATAGCTACAAAAGCAAAATATAAGAATAACAACAAATGGCTTCATCTGGAATTTTATACTAACACTGAAGACTTCAGCAGTAAAGGGCTTAAACAATTGCCTCAGTACATCGCCCTTCTCCCTTTCATTCTTAATATTTGCTAATACCATGGCATGTATTTCAAGGAGACAAACTGAGTGGTCTTCTTTAGGCATGATGCATGCCTCAAGAACTCTGTGCTACTCTATGAGAAGAAAACACTCAACCTAAACATGTCCAAGCTTTTCTTGGAGTCCTAAAGAAGAGCACAGTAAGGTGGAGATGTAAAAAAAAAATTTACACTTACTCCTTACCTCTCCAGCAAGTGGTCTGAATGGCCACACTGATATTCCTCAAACACCAGAGAATCTGAATCATTGCAGTTTCCATGTTCCTGCTCTTGATGCCAGCAGTGTGGATGTTGCATAGAACTAGAAAACAAGAATTTTCATCTGAAATCAAGTCACTGGTAGTCACTGAACATGGCCTATAGAAATCAAAGATGGACAATTTGATTTGGCATATGGATATGTGATCCCTACCAACTTACTCAGGCAACACATACTCAACAAAGGTGTTAGTGCAATTGCTGAGGAAGCATCTTTGATCAATGCAATTAAGACATCAAAATTTTCAAATAAACAACTAAGATTTTGATAACACAAAATTTACTCTTTTTGCAAGGAAAATGGTGGGGAAGAAAACCTAATTGAGGACTGCCACCAGCGTTTATGGACTTGTGGGCATGTCCATCTTCTGTCAGCAGTATTTATTTACTGCCCCATCCAGCAGTAAACTCAAAGACAAGGCAAGTCCAGAAACTACACTTCAACACAATGGCTAGGCAGAAGTAGGTCAAATGTTTGTGTGGAAATGCTTTTACACAGGACATTCTTGACCAGAAGCAGCTGCTCCTCACAAGGAGGCCTGGGACAGGGAGCTGCCTCTAGTGCTCACAACACACTGGTGGGTCAGCCAGGGATTGCTTAATGGTTGAGTTCTCTACATTCTCCTCCTTGGTTCTGGCAGCTTTGACATTTTAAATGACAGGTTACTAAACAAAACACAACTGTAGCATCTACCAACACCAGACCTGGCTTCTGGGCTAAGGAGGGCAGCTGCAGATGCACTGCCACACCTGCCGACAGAACGATCTGGCACTGCAGCCTGTTACAGGTTTTTGTCTGTGTGAGTAACAGCAAACAAGCTGCTGTGTACGGGGCAGGTGTCTGCTCTTAGCTCCATAAGGGAGAAGAAACCATTTTTCACGTTTTACTCTTGTGTTAGCCGCCCATGTTTTCTTTCCCTTCCTCCTCCACCCTGCCTGGCTTTGGGAGTTTCCTGCTCCCAGACGGCTCCAAGTTGCCAACAGCACACGGCACACACAGCACAAACAGCTTCCTCAGCATCACAGACCCGACAAATGGTCCGCTTCCAAACCCGCTCAGTTTTCCCTAAGCAATGAACGATTAAAACGCTTCCCTAACCACCTTAAACAATTACTCGGTTTAACGACTTAAAACAAATTTTAAACCAGCTTAGGTACACTACAACAAGTGCCGTGAGTACGACACTGTAAATAGAAATGATAACCGAATATTATGTCTATTAGAAGCATTCCAGTATTTGCTTTGCACTGCCCGCCCACTCCAGCCTGATGCCAAGCCCCGGCGCTCCCAGCCGGGCTGGGGCATCTCCCGAGCCCACATCCTGCCCGGGGCTGCGGGTCCCGCACTCGCCACCGACAGAGGAGAGCGAAGGAGCCCCGGCTCGGGGGGCGAGGCCGCAGGAGAAGGCGCCGTCTGCCAGAGGCACACGGGCTGCACAGCCGGCACTGCCTCCGGAGCCGCCCCGGCCGGGCAGCACCGCACCCCGCCCCGCTCCCCGTGCCCCCGCGGCCGCTCCCACCTGCGCGGCCGGCGCGGCCCGCCGGACATGGCTGAGGCGGGGCGGCCCGGCCGAACGCGGCCCCGGCGGCGGCGCAGGCGCGGCCCGTCCTCCCGCGGGGGGCGCAGGCGCGGCCCGGAGAGCCGGGACTCGCTGCACTGCTGAGGGAGCGCTGCGCGGTCTGGCTAAGGGAAAGAAAAGCGTCCTGCGCCCCTATGAGGGCTGGGCGCAGCTTCCCTCACACCGAGGGCTCCGCTGCCCTCACACCGAGGGCTCCGCTGCCCTCACGCCGAGGGCTCCGCTGCCCTCACGCCGAGGGCTCCGCTGCCCTCACACCGGGGGCTCCGCTGCCCTCACGCCGTCTCCCTCCGGCTGCATCCCCACTCGCAAATGCAGGGAAAACCCAGCTCCCACATCACGGCGTTACCTCACGCAATAGCCAAGGGTTCGTTTTGGGACAAGTAATTTTTCTCCTAGACGTAGTGAGGGCTTAGTGGCCTCCACAGTGTACACGCTACAGGAATGTGTCCCACATTTCATACCATTAATGGAATTATAGAATAGTTTGGCTTGAAAAGGACCTTAAAGATAACTTGCTTGAATATTTATATCTCGATTCCTTGAATAGCTCCAAGTCAACAAACATTTCTTAAGAAAGGCACTCTGAACTTTAGTCTTACTGAGGTTATCCTGGCTGGAATGGTACTTAGCTGCAGGCTAGCTAGTTTCACAAAATCACAGAACGGTTTGTGTTGGAAGGGACCCTGAAGACCATCTCCTCACAACTCCTCTGTCATGGGCAGGGACACCTTCCCCTAGGGCAGGATGCTCAGAGCCTCATCCAGCCTGGCCTTGAACAGGATCCCTTCCAGAGATGGGGCATCCACAGCTTCTCTGGTCAACCTCTGCCAGTACCTTACCACCCTCGTAGTAAAGAATTTCTTCCCCCATCTGTAATCTGAACCTACTCCCTTTCAGTTTAAAGCCATTCCCCTGTGTCCTATCATGTCATGGCCTTGTTGAAAGTCCCTCTCTGGCCTTCTTGGAGACCCTTGAGGTAGTGGAAGGTGCTCCAAGGTCTCTGGAGCCTTCTCTTCTCCAGGCTGAACACCTCCTGCTCTCTCAGCCTGTCTCCATATCAGAGGTGCTCCAGCCCTCTGAACATCTTCATGGTTCTCCTCTGGACACACTCCAGTAGGTCCTCTACTACAGGAATGTGATAGATTCTTTATTGCTGGTGCTCAGTAATAAATCAGAGCAACATCATAGTTAATTAAATGTTTTATATAGGACATACTATTGCTACATGCCAGTGCTTCCTTGGAAAAACAAATTTTTAGCCATTGCCCCTGCTGATTTCATCACATCCAGTGTCACCCCTTCCCATCTGGTGGTTGTGAAAAGTATTTGGAGGCTTTTTTTCCTTCTTAAAGAGATTTCACACACACCTTCTTCCATTTATGCAACCCTCTGCATTCAGGCTGTAGCGGGAAAATCCATCCAAGGAAGACTTACCATTTACACCTTCAGGAGAATTTAAGCCCTATTTGTATTTATTCCCATGTTCTTGGGTAAGACACTGCATACAGATAAGCCAGAATGATTTCCACCCATATGAAGTTTTATCTGGTAGACATAAGTTTAAAATTAAAACCAGAAGTCTTACAAATAATTGACTGTATTTTTATTGAGCTCTTCAGAGGGTTTTAAGATTAACTGCATGTATTCATTAAACTTTTTCCCTAAGGTCTATCCAAATAATGCTGTTCATTTTAAACAGGCAAGCTATCTAGCAGAAAAACCCCATCAACCTCAAAAAACACAAATGAGAAATCCTGCAGTATGTCTTTGGAAGAAAATATCTTGTATTCCATATAAGAGCTTGAGTATTTATATCATGACTCCTTAAACAGCTCAAAGTCCACAAACATTTCTTTAAAAATGGCACTGAGAACCTCAGTCTTACTGAGGTTTGTCCTGAATGGGATGATGTTTAGCTGCAGTCTAGCAAGTTTTACAGTATCAGAGAAAGGTTTGAATTGGAATGGAAAAAAAATGGCCCTGTGGCTCTTTGGATGATAATCTGAAGCTAGCACAAAGACAAATGCCTTTTTTTGTACTCTGTTATTTTCATGTTCATATGGATTTTTAACAAGCTGTTTGTCTAACACAGCTTTCAAGAAGCTCACAAATGTTGGAGGCATGTCAGATTACTTTGAGAAGTTAAACTTGGGAAAACAACTTGTTTTAAAGAATGTAAGGCAGGGACTATCATTAACATAGATCATAATTTTGTTTTGGTAATTAAGTTTTCTAAGAGGCACTTCTGTGCATTAAAAGATGCAAGAGTATGAAACATTTATGACTGTTACTCTGTTGTACTTTTGTATCGACAAAAGAGGTAGGATAAATAGAAGTTCCACTGATGTGAAAACTTTCAGTCAACTCAGACTAGATTCCACTGCAGTAGCAATTAGTAATTTAAAGCTTTTTTTTACATGAGATACTACTGGCAACTGACCTGGTTTTAGTCTATAAAACCATCTGCAACTACATCCATCTAAGATTCTCAAGGACTTTATGATTTTAACCTCACATTCTTTACAATGAATATTTTTATTCTGAACAGGTAAAGTGCTGTAGGAGCCGAATGACTGGCGATGGCAAAACCACAGCTCCAAAATCTACTCTCTCTTCTGCAACTATTTCAAGGGCCACATCCCTTGTATCAGTGCCACATTATGTAAATTTTCAGAAGCAAATGTTACAAAATGCTTGTTTGTGAAGGCTGCTGTGTACTGATAGGTGCATGTCAGACAACACCACCCAGCCCTGTAAGAACCTTCCAAAGGTTAAAAAATCCTGCAGAGACCATTTTAAATCTAGAAATAACTTTCCCGCAGAAGTACTAAGAAAATACTTTAAATTCAATTGCTAATCAACTCCTAGATTTTTTTATTAGTTTTCAGACTTACCAGCAAATCTGTCTGAATCTCCACAATTCCATTTAATTCTATTCAGATGAAGAGTGACATGCCACTGAAGATCTCTTTGGGAAAAAGAGATAAATCCACACAACCTGTCTCAGTGTCAAATTTTCACTCTGTACATCCATACAATCCAAAACAGCAGGTAATGGAAAACAGAGAAGCCATTCTTATTAACAGGTAATTTACTTAATTGCATAGTAGGTGTTGTATATAAAGCAACTGAGATATGCTGAAGCAATATATGTTCTTAAACTCAACCAGTTTGGATTTTTACAAGTAAGTATTATTTTAAAATTCTAAAGTTAAAATCCAACACCAATAATTAAATGTTATTTTTCAAGCAATGCTGTCAGATCTGTCTTTGGTTCCTTACCCCTCTAAGAATTCTTGCTTGCAGCCACATTTGTAACCATTTCCTGGCTGGTTGCAAGTGCAAGGTAGGTACATTCACTACCTGTAGCTCAGTTAAGACTCATTAAATGTTTCATGGTTGTACTTCCAATACTTGTAGCATTTTTATATCCTGCCACCTGCTCCTGCTCAAACCAGTTGCCTGTCATGGTAATCAAGAGATTATCATCTAATCAGAGGTTATCATGTAATCACTGACACGCCACCTCTGCCCAAGATTTACTGGTAAGATCCTTTTGATTGTTCAGTTGGGAGGTATTAAGTGTTTTTATTCTTGTAGACCAAAGCTTTAAAGTATTCCTTTCTCCATTTGACCCACCTGTGATTTTAATTTATAAATTAAAGCTCAGATGTTTTCTGCACTCAGTTCAAATGTATGTAAAAAAAAGTCCCATCACCTAAAGGACATTGAAACCCTAAGCAATGCAGCTCCTGGAAACCAACAGATTTTAACCATATATTAGCAGTGTAGGTAAATGGGTTGACAAATCCTTCTGTTGTTTGAAATAAAAGACATCCATCAGAAAGTATGCTAGAAGCAAATTAATGGAATAAAAGGTCCATGCAGGACTTGTAAATCTTCAGAGATTACATTTCTTAGCCTACTTCAACCCTTTGTGATAGATATAGTGGAAATAGCTCCTTCCAGAAGGAGCTACAACTGGTGTACTTGTTTGAAAAACAACTGCAAAGATTAATAATAACTTTACAACTGGATTAAAGAATAACAAAAGTATCAACGAAGTCTAACCAAAGCAATTTTCTCAGTTAGCCCTTTATTAAAGCATCAAAACCCAAGTTAAAATTAAAAATATAAAGAATTTAACCTACATTAAAACCTGAAAAAACAACAGTATTGTAAATATAGAAGGATAACCTTATTCCATCCAAAATGTAAGAAAGGAAAACAGGGGTTTAAACAAAATTAAAATCCAGAAGCTGACATCAGGTGAGTAAAATCCACAGATAAGGTAAAAGTGGAAAGGAACTGAAAAGATTTACATCTGTTTTCAACACTGTAAAAGAAACCTTTAGAGTTTGTACCCTGGTCGAACATGAAGTCTCAGAAACAGATCTAGCAGGCCTTTAAACCAAACCCACTATGAAACACAGTCAAATTAAAAAAAGTTAGAACATACCCAAGTTACTACTCATCGTATTAGGCAAACATCTAGAATGCAAAATTTGGCTCGGCAAGTCGGGCAAGGCACTTGGCTGGACAGCCAGGTCTCTGGGTGCTGCTGGTCCTGTCTGCTGGCAAACCACTTGCCCATGCAGGTGAGGCACCACATGGGCCGGCAGTAGCACTGCTGGCATTCCCCCTCGTTGGGCTCCTGGCAGTTCTTGATGAGCTTGATGTTGGCAATAGTCTGCATACACCCTATGCACGGCTCCAGCTCCTGAGGGAGGAGAAAAACCATCAAAATTGTGAACCGCACAGAAGGGTTCCTGTTAGTGTCTTTCAAAAGCTTTTAGAAAATCATCTGTGGCAGAATAATCAAGGCAGAACTGCCCCACCAAAGGATATCAAATGGTTTTACTAGAACACTCTAACAAGTGACAGCAAAGCTTTTCTCTGAACAGAAAACCCAGAACTGCTGCATGAGACTAATGATTAAACAAAAATGACTGAAAAATAAATGTTCTTTCACTCTTTAAAGAGCTTCCAGCAGCCACAACCAGGTAAGCATGCAGACAGCTTTGTCATTCAAGCTATTTTTCAAAAAACATACCAGTATAAAGTAAGGAAAACAAACCAAGCAAACAGTTCTTATCACTTAAATAGCAAATGGCTGTTCCTATCTTCCATCTTGCTAAGTAAGAGACATAAATGAGGAAACCAAGACTGTACTGAACACATGGATGCTCAACCTCAAGGTCCAAAAATATACTTAATGTTTTTGGATAAAATTGGAATAACTGATTTTGCCCACAGTTAGTTAAGCCACATGAACTTACAGTTGCGTATGGGGACAACATCTTGCTATGAAGTGTTTTACAATTAATAAACAATAATTAGCATTTCCCACATCTTCCAGCTGTCCACGAACTCAACAAAGCTCAAAAGACAGCACACTGAATAGACATCGAGACCTGAATCTTTTCAAAATGCTCCTAGTAGAACAAAAACCAGCTCTCTATGTGGTCTCTAGTTGCCATCTGCAGTGACTCTTCCCTTGTCAGCTCAAGTGTCTGTTCAGCTTCAGTCAGCTGGGCTGTGGAGCAGGTGCAGATGAACACAAGCTACTCAGCTTTAACTTGTGAAATTAGGTCTTAGCTTTTAAGCACAAAAAATTCTAGCATAGGAAGATCAACTAACTTTTCCAACATATTAATGGAGCTTCAGAATAGGGAAAAATTCAAAGTTTTTGCGTATTTTTAACATCCTTATCATCACCTGTGATGTCATTTATCACTCAATGTCATACCCAAGTTCAGTAGCTCAGCTGCCACTTAAATGTCAAATGTTCTGCAAGAAAGCAGCTTTAATATCTTCACTTTACTGTGACCATCTCTTTTTGCTGGCAGTGCAATCAGAACACACAACATAATGTGCATGCACACCTGATCCAGTTTTGTTTTAGCTAGTTCATAAACCATATAAGCTACACAACACTACCAAAGATACCAACCCCTCACTCCATTAGCTGAACCAGTGGACACAGACTTCCTGCAGGGTCACCAGTATACTGGTTTAACTGGTTCCCTGTGGTACACTGGACAGTGGTCCAGGCACACTTCCAACTGCTGCACAAGTATAATAATGATCAGGACTCTGTGAGTATTACTGGAAGTAGGACTCTGTGCTGTTATAATTAACACCAAGTAATAGCTATAATAATTATAACTAAAGCAAACCCCAGTTAAGAATCATTAGTTTATTTCAGCAGAAGATCCAGCAAAACTTGGCTGTCTAGAAAAGCAAGCTGTATTGGAGCAAACTGCCTAAAGAACAGCAACAGCAGCTGCGGCTCTGGCTCCCTATAAATGATGACCTTGCAGTTCTGCAAGTGCAAGGTCATCATTTCCAAATGTGTTCATGTAACATTTTAGTAGCAGGGACCTTATTTCATTATGTTATTTCTTATGTCTCAAAACTGTAATGCTCAAATACAGTCTGTTCCACTAGCAGGAAGAGAAGCAGCAGCCAGAGTTACATTTATGATGAGTTTACTGACACAGCAGGTGAGCATTTGTGAAAGAAGCATCACGTGGACTGAGCAAAGAGCACTTGGGTTTCTGGCATCACTGACCAGGAGGCCTGACTAGAGTCAGCCTTGGCTGTGCAGACCCTAAGAAATTGTGCTTGGCTGTATCTTCCCAGGAAGTTAAGAAATCTAGGTCATGTCTTATCAGGGGCCAATGAAATGAAACTGTAAGTCCTACAGCTCTACACCCACACCAAGGGGAACTTTAACCATCAGCCACTCTCTAAGAAAGTGACTGCAACCCCCAAGCCCATGGAGCTCTCCTGTAGGGCAGCCTCAGGTAGGCAGCAGACCTCTCAAAGGATCTCTTGAGATCAAGAGATCCCTTACTTGATATCTGTTACCTACAGAAAGGTAAGTAAGGTAAGTTTATATTAGATCTAAAACATATTGGATGCAAACTAGCTGAATTATTAGAAGTGTAGCGAGTAGTAGGGTGCTTAACTGCTGTTCAATTATCATTTAATTACTGACTGAATACTGCTTAATTATTAAATTAGGATTATTAAGCAGTAAATACATTATTATTATAATTTAATAATAATTTGTTATTTAATCCATATTTTAATAAAACCTTTTTGCTAATCTCACAACAATGAATTATCTTAACTCTCTGAATAGCCCTAGGTAAACATTTATCATTTACACGGTAATCACAGGCTCATCTTTTGAAAGTATAATTGTTACAGTCTCACACGGATAGCACTCACCTGAGTGCTTGGAACATGGTACGTCTGGTTTATTTCCACCAGAGATGTAAAGGTTTCTAAAAATAAATCACTAAGGCTTTGATGGATCACAACATTAGCTGCATTGCTGATAGGAGCACGGAGCTTCTCCCGGAGCTCCCCATACTCTGTGGAGTTCAACCTGAAGAAGAGAAGATGGAGCAAAATGTTACCATGATTATCCACCCAAATACCTTGATAGTACCTTGCAGAGGTTAACTGAAGTGAATCCACAGAAAAGCTGGTACTTATTAGTCAGAATAAATACACAGAATTGCATTTGTTTTCTTGTTTTCTTCTGCTGTTTAGTTATTGGTTTTGGCACAACTTGGTCAACAGAACGCGCTGTCCTCATTCATATTTGTGTAAGATTGCCAACAGGGTATGTCAGAGATCAGCTAAAACGTCACACAGAAATAAAGGCTTTTGAAGTAATCAGCATGAACAAAAGCAGTATAGGTATATAAACCATACATTAACTGCAAAGTGCTGTTTGCACCATTTCTGTCACCTTTTTAATGCCTGTTTACTTAGACAATTTCTAAATTCTCAGTTATAAACTCCTGAGGAATTTAGTTAGGAGCAATTATACCACGAGCAGGCATCACAAGGTTATACAGTACTACAGAAGTAGCAGAGGAATGACAATCTATCAGGTTCTGTGGTTTTACGATACAATTTTAGACTGTATCATAACATAATCCCAGAAAATTCACAAAGGTCACAAACCACTGCTGTTTCAGGGCTGCAGCAAGCTGTGTTTCACACCAGCTGCTTCTGTAAATTAAATTTAAGTGATATCCACAGCACTCAAGTGGCACCTGACACCTCACACAGATCCTACAGTGATACATCCCTGCTGTCATCCCTTTTGACCATAAGAGTTCTGAACTGTAGTGTCAGAACTCTCCAGCTCAGTGCTTCCACTCATTAAACAGCTTTCATGGAGAAGTCCCTGGAAGACTGCCCTCATTTTCCTACCACTGTCTGAGTTCCCAGAGCCCAGCACAATGCAAGGCTGGCTCAGCTCTAGCTCTCGGTGGTCACCATTGTTTTTACTGCTACAAGATAATGTCATTGAACAGATGCTGTCCATACAAATCAGAGACATTTATATCCAGAGGAATAATTCACACTGAACATGCAGAGAAATGTGGCCCACCTGCACAAAAGCATTTTTCCTCCAGAAATATCTCACTGTATTTGATTCTGATTCTGGATATATACAATGATCCTGTATGATTCTGCTACATTCTAAAAGAGATTAACTATCACTGACATCTTATTAAAACAGCTTTTAAACACTGTTCTTGATGCTATTCTGTTTAGTCACAAAATACAGTTTGGGCTTAGGACTTTTTTTCCATAAAAGGAATTGTCAAACAAGTAATTATTTTCTCAGCTGGGGTGTACTCTGGCACTGAAGTGCTTGCAGAAGAAAATCATTAGTTGTTTAATACTAATTTGTCACAGGTCTATAACAGTCTCTTTTCTTAGTATTAGTATTATCATGATTACCTTGAGCAACCTCTTGTTCTGAGTTCTGTTCACCTGGATCTCTACCATAATCACCTCTGCTTTCCTTGTGCTCGTCTCACTTGCACACCTACCTGCATGCCTTTAATTACCTAATAAATGCTCCTGACAAACAAATGTACAGCAAAAAGACACCTTTTCAAATACAGTTTTAGGAGCACTAAGATGGCTTTTAACAACACAACAACAAAGACCTTAGAACCCTTCTACTCAGAGGTTTCTGCTGAACTTGTACTTTAGCCTGATTACACAGAGACCAATGAGATAAACAGCATGGGCCTTTGCAAAACGAGCCCTCACAGTTCACAATTGTTATGATTTACTGCTATGAGAACATGTAAGTCAGAAAGGGACCAAAATTTCTTCCTTGTTTTAGGAGCAGTTGGCTTGCACTCACTCAGGGAGAGCACTTCTGAGCAGTGATGATATTATGACCCTTAAGCACAAGTTAAAATCCAAAGTCGTGGATGAACAATAGACAGTTTTAGACAAATAGCTATTTCTCCTCACCCAAAATTTAGAAGACCAAAAATTCTACCTTCCATTCCTCTTCTCCATCTCTGACCTAATTTTATCCAGTTACTTCTTTCTGCATCCAGCACAATCCTCTCCCTAAGAATGGATCAAAGAGGCTAATCCCTTTGTTTATCTGTTGTGTATTCAGCGTTGTACGTGTATGAAGCTTTCCAAACAACCTTCCCTGCACTGCATGGCAGAACTGCACATACAGCAGCCCTGAACACCAGGCAGGGATCAGAAAGGAAGGGATGAGACCAGGGACTCTCCAGATTGGTCACAAAAATGCTCCCTCAGCACCATCAAACAGCACACATGTAACATAACAGGTTCAGCAGTTGTTTTACCGGATATCGAATGCCTTGATGTAGGGATTAACACTGGCAACTCGGATGGTGAGGAACTGCACAGGCACGTTGGAGTCTGGCGTGAGCTCGTGCTGTCTGGAGTCTGTCACCGTCAAGTGAATGTCCTGCTGCTGGGCAACATGTAAACAGTAGGTGGTCACTTTAATCACCCACGTGTCTGTAACAATCACCCTCGCTCCTGGCGCTCCGGTAGCGAATTTGTCAATTCTCCTAAATTCTGTGTTGATGGAAGAAGCTACTGCCCTCCAGCCTGACTGTGGGAGGGCGTGAACAGCGAGTGTCCGGGCTAGTGGATGATTATTCCAACCTTTCCGTGACCAGTAATATGCCAGGGCACTGGTGATTGCTGGGAGGAGAGCGGCGAAGAAGAAGAAAGTTTTCCACTCTTTTGAAGCCAGGTAGAAAAAACAAAGATGCTTTTCAGGTGCAGCAAAGCACATACCAAGGTAATAACCTGCAAGGAAAAAAAACTTACTTTCAGAAAACAATTAAGTACGTGCAAAAGCAGATACCCCTGAATCATATGGTTATCTAACCAGTGAGCTCACTTCCAAGAGAGGTATTGCATTTCTGGATGACTTGAAATTCAAGCCTCTGGTCTCAAGCAAGCTGAAGTAAATTCTTAGGCATCAGCGATTTTTACCAGAATTATATACCTAAAGGAAAGTGATCTGAATTTGGTTGCTGAATAAAATTACCTGAGAGATAGAAGAATTATATGGCTAAAGGAAGCCAATTTGCATTCCTTGGTTAAATCACAGACTTACAGAAGCTGATGCACTGGAAGGGACTCACAAGGATCATCAAGTCCAACACTTAGCCCTGCATGCACAGGACACCCCAAGAGTAACACTGTGTGCATAAGAGCATTGTCCAAGCACTCCTTGAACTCCAACAGGCAGGTGTTATGACCAAGGTCCTGGGGAGCCTGTTCAGTGCCCAGCCACGCTCTGGGGAAGAACCTTTTTATAATACCCAGCACAAACCTCCCCTGACACAGCTTCAGGCCATTCCTTGGGTCCTGTCCCTGTCACCACAGAGCAGAGATCAGTGTCTGTCCCTCCTCTTCCCCTCCCGAGGAATTTGTAACTGCACTGAGGTCTCCCCTCAGTCTCCTCCAGGCTGAGCAGACCAAGTGCCCTCAGCCTCTCCTCACACGGCTTCCCCTCAAGGCCCTTCACCATCCTCGTGCCCTCCTTTGGGCACTCTCTGATAGTTTAATGTTTTTCTTATATTGTGGCACCCAGAGCTGCCCCAGCACTGGAGGTGAGGCCGCCCCAGCCCGAGCAGAGCGGGACAATCCCCTCCCTTGCCGGGCTGGCCATGCTGGGCCTGCTGCCCCCAGGACAGGGATGTCCCTCCTGGCTGCCAGGGCACTGCTGGCTCTGCTTCCACTTTCCACTGGCCAGGAGCCCCAGGTCCCTTTCCCTGGCACTGCCCTCCAGCCCCTCATTCCCCAGTCCGTACTTAAACTGCAATTCCTTTGTGAGTGCATGTGCTGCGGTGCAGCCCGCTGGATACAGAGCTCGGGGTGCTCACTCCAGGGAGGCCGAGCGCGACTCACCGAGGGGCAGCAGGGAGTGCGCCAGCAGCGTGCCGGTGCTGCGCCGCAGGTGGTACTGCACGAAGGCCGCGTCCTCGCTGCCCAGCCAGGCGGACAGCAGGCTCTGCACCGTCAGCCCCGCCGACCGCACCTCGTCGGGCGGGAACACGAAGCACACGGCGAACACCAGGTAGGCCAGCGTGAAGGTCACCGCGGGGCTCTCCATGCTGCGCCCCGTGGGGCGCCGGGGTCCACGGGAGCGGTAGCTCCCGCCGCAGCCCCGGATGCTCCAGCGGGGAGCGGTGCTTCCCGCCGCTCCAGCGGTAGTTCCCCGGCAGCCCCGGATGCTCCAGCGGCAGTTCCCGCCGCACCCCCGGATGCGCGGCGCGGGCGCTGCCGGGCTGGCGGGGCCGCCCGGGCAGAACCCGCCTCCCCCAGCACGGATGGTCCCCGCCCCTCCATCCATCTCCTCCCTCCTCTCCGCCCCTCTGTCCATCTCCTCCCTCCCTTCCGCCCCTCCGCGCCTGCCCGGCCCCGAGCACCGAGCCACGTCCCCGTTCCAGCCGCAGCCGGGCCCCGCCCGCACCGCGCCCCCCCAGCCCCTGCCCGTGGCCCCAGGCATTGTCCGCACTCGAGGTCATGCTCCACAGGCCTGGCAGAAGGAACAGATTCCAGTTCTTTATGCATGTAAAAGACCTCTGTTGGATGAGGGCAGCGTCTTTCTGAAGCAGGGAATGGCCTGTTTTACTGAAGCGTCGGGAAAAGCTTCTCTTTGCTCCTCCTTGTGTATTTTATGTAATGCTTTCTAATATTTCCTAGTAAGACAAGGATGTAGCATCTTAAAATCCCCTAAAGGGAGGCATGTTTCAAGGTATCTTCGTACACCCCCAGACACAGAGGGAGAGGCCTGACTGAAATATCTTGTTCCTATTGAAGTACAAACAATAGCTAATAGCCAGAAGATTTGCTGTTTCTTTGGGAATGTAGGAAAACTCCTGCACACACCCTGTTAAAACCACAAACTTCCACATTTCTCTCTTTTAGAGAAAGGTGGAGATTGTATAACTGGAAAAGCACGGCAGAGAAAGCAGCATGTGATGTTATACGCTACTAATGATGGCAAACCAAGTCAATAGTAGATACCACCCATGGAGTGTGACATCCTAACGCTGGCAGATGACTGATGTGCAACTGCTGTGATGGAGATCGGGAATTCATGGTGGTTTAGTGACTCTTGATGGTTATATCAATAAAATCATGCTTGGATTCTGTGCATCTTACTTCATTCTAAAAGACATCCTTGTTAACAACTCTATTAAACAGTCATTTCATTGTTGCTGTCTGGTGACTCACCAGTAAGGACTGTTTAAATGTTCGTGAAGCCCAGTAATAAAACACGGCCTGTTGAAGCATCAAGTTTTCCTTCTGTGATTTCATGCAAAAGCTTGAAGCAGAACAGCTGAGACTGTAGAATCATAGAAAGGTTTGGGTTGGAAGGTACCTTAAAGCCCACCTCCCTCCAACCCCCCGTCACGGGCAGGGACACCCTCCACTAGCCCAGGTTGCTGAGAGCCCCACGCTGCCGGGGCAGTGCGTGGGGACACAGGGACATTGCGCAGCCGGGGCAGTGCGTGGTTGTCGGAATCTGTGAGTATTGGTGATTCTGAGATTGTAGAAAGTCTGTCTTTCTGCCCCGTTCCCAAAGAAGAAGCCATAATTCGTCTGTGCTGTTTTCAAGGTTGTTCATTCTTGCTTATCTATAACATGTTCTGCTGCCCTGCCGCAGGTCTGTCCTGCAGGGCAGCGTGTGGGGCTCTGCCCCCAGTGGGATGTTACAAACATTATATACCAGAAACTACGTGTACTATATTTGCAATAATGTGCCAATATCTATCATCTACGTTGAACAGTGTGTCCTCAGCCTAAACCAATAGAAAAATGCCAACACTACAGTGAAACATGGAGGGCATGAAGAAGGAGGAAAAGGACACGACACACCCAATTCCTCCATCTTGTCCCCTCTGAACCCCTAATCTAGAAACCTAAAATTTTACCTTTGCACCCGTGTCACACTTAATTATTGCTCTTATCAAACACTCAAAGCTTGTAAATCATCCTGTAAGATTGAAAACTCCTCTCCATGGACAGAGATCACAGACAGTGTCTCTCGGGGCTCTGTCCAGGGGGGGTTCCTGACCCCCTGCCAGGGTCCCAGACCTTCCAGGGCAGCCAGAGGGAAGCCCTGGATTCCCACACGTGGGGACATCGGGGACATTGCGCAGCCAGGGCAGTGCGTGGGGACACGGGGACATCGAGGACACTGCGCAGCCGGGGCAGTGCGTGGGGACACGGGGACATTGCGCAGCCGGGGCAGTGCGTGGGGACACGGGGACATCGGGGACACGGGGACATCGAGGACACTGCGCAGCCGGGGGAGTTAGTCCCGGGCGGAGCCGCGCCTGCACCGCCCGCTCTGCCCCGCGCGGGGCGCACTCCGCGGGGCGCAACGGTCACGCGTGGCGCTGTCCCCGCCCCCTCCCGCAGAGCGCTCTCCTGATTGGCGGGCGCACCCCGAACGCCGCTCCCTCATTGGCGGGCCGGGGTTTCCGTTGGGTTTGAAATCGTGAGGCGGCGGCGCAGGGCTGCGGTTGGCGCTGGGGGCTGCGTGCGCCGTCTCAGCTGAGCGCCCCTCGGGCTCGTCCCGGGAACCGCCGCCAGGTACGGGGGGTTTGGGGACACCGGTGTGGGGCTGGGGTGTTCCGGTTCCCCTTTGTGGGATTGGGTGCGGCGGGAGGCTCGGTGAGCCCTCTGTGACCGGGGAGGGGAGGTTCTGGCTCTGTAAGGCAATGTGGGGCCGGGCGGGGCTGTGTCGGGACCCTTTGGAGGGTCAGGGGCCGCTCTGCGAGCCTGGGGTTGGAGGGGGGTTTGGGGACATTTCTGTGACTCTGGAATGCTGGGCCGGGGGAGTTCTGGGCTTGCTCTGTGAGTTTGGGGGAAGGCTTGGTGGCCCCTTTGGTCTTGGGGTGGTTTGAATTCGATGGGGGGGGGGCTGACTGGGGGCCCCTCGGTGTACTTGGGGAGTTTAGCGACCCCTTTGTGAAATTCACGCTTGGGGTGCTGTGGGACCGGGGGTACCTCCTTGTCTAGGGTTGTCAGGGGCACTTCTGTGAGCCTCAGATTAAGATATTTGGGGGCTATTTCTGTCAATTTAAGGATGAAGAGAAGGCAGGAACTTGGGGGTAATGGCAGGAGCTCAAGGGCGGAGCTCAGGTGCTCTGCCCCGCTGAAGTGGGGCTGAGGATCTTGGGAGTATCTCTGTGTTTTTAGGATGCTGTGGGGTTGATGGGGAGCCTGGGGTGAGTCAGGAATAAAGAGGGACTGAGGCGGGGTTGGGTTTGGGTTTTTTGGAGTTTGTTTTTTTGACTGAAAACATCTCTTGGTGCCATGATGGGCAGGGATGAGCCTCCTGAAAAGCTTTCCTTGGCCTTGCTGCTTCTCCCCTGCAGTCAGGAGAAGGTGATTATGAGCGAGTTGATTCTCAGGAGAATGTTTATTTGTTCTGAAGTGAGATATTTGCACTAAAATAAATATATATATACATCAGTTAGGTATGTGTCAGTTTGTATGGAAGTATTCACAGCACGTACCAATTTGCCTTGCCATCAGCGAGTGCTCTTTATCTCGGCTACTGGAGGAGTTCAGAAGGATAATTAAGTAGAAAAATTCCATCTCTGTCTTGCATGTTCAGTGGATTTTCAGGCATTTGAGACCACATTGGTATTTTGGATATTGTGTCCTAGTATTTATTAAACAACAGGTTAGGTTGAAGCACTTTACTAATGATGGTTAACAGGGGATTAATTATCTGATGTCATGTCACTGAATTTGTATAGATTCTTTACTGTAGAATGGCAGGTTCCTGCCTGTGCCTGCATAAATATCCTTCTAAAATAAGGAGCATCTTCATTTTTGTGACCTTTGATAGATCCATGGAAAAGTTTGGGCTGAAAGGGACCTTGAATATCATCTAGGTCCACCCTCCCTCACAGGGAGAGGACCTCCCAAGGACATGGACACCTTCCAATAGACCAGGCTGCTCCGAGCCCCATCCAGCTTGGCCTTGAGGCTTGTTTTGCTATAGTGGGAAAACCTGCTGCATTTCATAATTAAGTACCTTGGATGCTGACCACGTTCAACAAAGCTATGAATAAAGCCACCCTTTCACTTTATCACAGCTACTAGCGAATGAACTTGTGGAATATTATTTAGATCAAATCTTGGCTGCAAATTTGGAAAATAAAATTATTAATTACTTCTAGTATTTTAATCCTCGAAAGAAATTTGATTTTTAGATTTAACAGCTAAAGTAGTATATGTATATGGTGTCAATGTATTTGCTTTAGCAACGGTGTGCAAGTAGCTCAATGACAAAGCTGAAAAACTCTCCAAATAAACTTCCCCTGTTTGTGGAGCTTGTTTTAGAAGGTGTTGACAACTTTGCCATGTCCTAGGCTTGCTTCTAAAGTAATTCCAGTAAAAAAACACAGTTTGTAAAGATTTACTTCATCTGTTGTCTCAATTTTAGTTTGGAATAAAGGAAAGCAGTGAAGTTCACTTCAAGCTCTTCAAGTGGTTAATGTAAAAATACTTAATACAAAAAATAACCTGTACTGAACTTTAATATGATGAGTAAAGAAGGACTGAAGAAATAGCTAATACTGGAGTGCTTTGCATGCCATTGCTTCTGCAGCTATTGTTTGCATTCCATTGCTGATTAAAAGTGCTGCTGTCAGGCTTGCAGACAAAGCAGCTGAGTTCTGTGGAGAGTAGGAAGCAAATTTTCCCATAAGGATTAATGCCTACATTAATGTGGAGAAATGGTTGGAGGCTTACGTAAGAAATACATAGAGGCAGGGAGATGAAAAATATGACTTAAAATTTTCAATCCAAGAGTTCCTGTTACATCTTTATGACCCTGAAAGCAATTGTATGTATAGATTAATCCTGCATATATGATGGAAAAAAGGCTAAGGATTACATGTTTGGTTAAATCAAGCATTTGAGATCAGTTAGAAGGGTCCCACATTGCAGAAAGCCAAAGTCTCTTCCACTGGTTATCTTGCACAGGTGACAAAAGATAATACATCAGCTCTTATGAAATAAATTGCTTTGAGAACAGTTTTTCAATAAATAACTGCACTTCACAGGTGTCATCCTTCATGGACAGAGGTAATGCTTAGATCTTCCTTGCCTTCTATCTCTTTTTTTCAAAAGCAGCTGTGCATCACTGAGTGTTAGTGTTAAACATTTAAGAACAGCAGCGGCTTCAATGGGAATAAAACACAGGCAGAATTCAAGTACATACAGCATGGTGGCTTGCCTGGTTTATTTTAAGTGTGCTTTTTCTCTATTTCTAATTTATTCTCATCCTTACTCTTAGTAGCGGACCAGGCCTTAGTTTCAAATCCTTAAACTAGTACAATTAGATCAGTATTTAACAATGTAATAAGGCTTATGCATGTCCAGTGAAAGAGCAATATTTTAGAAATACCTTTCTAATGATGATTTTTCCTATTTGCATACCAATGATGTCTATGCTGCAGAGGATTCCTAAGTACTATGTGCTTTACAAGAGCAGCACATGCTCAGACAGTGTAGGAAAAGGCTAATTTGATCCAGGACTCTGATCCCAAACACACCCTAACTAACCAAATTTGTTTCTGCTGTTTGCTGGTGTACAACGTAGTAATGAGACCATGTGAGTAAACAGATGATTGTCATCTGTCTCATCTGCACTTGCAGAAGCAGTTGTGTTGCTTAGCTGGGTGCCCTGCTCCAAGAGACACGGCTGTACGTCACTGGCTGAAGAGGTTGGGAAGGAGGAAACTTTGCAGATGACAGAGCTCCCTTTAAAGGACAGGCAGCTTAATTAGTAAGGCTGGAATGTGAGCTGTGAAAGGCGTATCATCAACAATTAGCTTTTCAAGCCCTTACCAAAAGCAGAGGGACTGTGCACTGCTGCTTTTAGATACTTCAGAGTCTTCTGAGATAGACCTTTCCCTGTGAAGCCTTTCCATGCTCCCAACTTTCCCTTTGAAGCTGTTAGTCTTGGCTAGTCAGTGCCAGGCTGCCAACTTCTGCCATTATCTCAAAGTGCATCTGGCTGACCACACCCTCTCATTCATTCTGCTGTGCTGTGTGTGTTGATGTTCTAGAATGAGTCTGCAGATTTTAAATGCAGAAAATGGAGAAAATGGAGGAAGCCTTAAGGATGATTTAACAGCGGAAGGCTGTGACTTTTTCTTTGCGCCGCCGGAACCTACAGGGAGACCTTCAATTCTTCGCCTGTCCCAGAAAGAAAACTTGCCTCCAAAAAGTGGGGGAAAAGTGATGAAGGTAAACTTCTGGTTTT